AACCCCATGGACTGCAGCCTGCCAGGCTCCTCTGTCCATGGACTTTTCCAGGCAAGAATACTGGAGTGGGTTGCCATTTCCTTCTCTATTATTTGATTTTTTTTTTTTTAAGATATTTGCATGTATTTGATTTTAAAAGTTTTTAGGGAAAAGTATTAGTTTTATAAAGCAATTTAGTACCTTGATACCTGTGATTATATTTGTGTAAAAATACTGGGAGAAAATTTACCAGAAGTCTAGCATTATTTGTGGTAGAACTAAGGATAATGTTGCCCTTTTCTACATTTAAAATTTTTTTGTAAGTGGACATGTTACTTTCACAATGATCTTTTACTTTTATAAGTAAACCATTCAGAGGATAGTTAATATGATATCCCAAAAAGGAATGAGCGATGGCTTTGATCGAAAGTCAGCCCCCGGTGGGACACACGTGCAGACACTGCTCCTCAGTTAAGGTGAGCCCTTGACCGGCTGCCGTGTCCCTCTAACCTTCCTTGATGCTTCTGCTGGGCGAAGGTGTGGCTGTCTCCATCGGCTCTTATTTACTCAGGGCCCGGGTGGTTTCTCAACTCATCCTGGCCACAGTGAGTCACTGGGGCCTTACAGTTTGCAGCTAGTCTGTGTTCATTGACGTTTATTCCTGAGTGGGGTGCTCCCAAGAGGTGGTGGGGGAAGAATTGAGCTCTGCGGCCCTGTGCGTCCTTCAGATCTTGGAGTGAGGCCAGGGTGGCCGGTGAGTCTTCTCTCCTAAGGAGGATTCCGGGACAACTTGATTTTCCTGAGAGCTGGTTGAATTGAAGAGAAACCTTTATAAAATAGAAAGATAGGTTGGAGCTTAAAGAAGAAAACTGTGCATTTCTTTTGAAAATTTGTTTCATTTCAATCCATGAAAGAGTGATTTCTGAGTGGGTTTCTCTTTGCTGTCTGGGCACTGCATTGCTGGTTAGCACAAGGTTGGAGGGGAGCCAGGAAGTTCTCATTAAACAGTTTGGTTCCCAGGTGGTGGATGGTACAGTTCTGTTAGCAGAAGGTTAGAAATCTTTCTCATTAATTATTGCTGGTTGACATTGGGTACTCTGCCTGCCTGGATTTGGTCATTTGACCCCTTTCCTCACAAGAGGCTTTTATGCAGGACAGTCTGCCCTATCCCCGAGTTAGAAATTTCCTGCACTGTGGTCCTTTTCACAGGGAAATAAATAGTTCAGGCTTCCAACTCTCAACGTCTGCCTGCTGGAGGCATCATAAAACTCTTGGTATTGCTTTGTGGACTTTGCCCGTTGAGCGACTTTATTTCTTGTTATATTCATTCAGCAAATTTTGTTACTGTAGTGGGTTCTTACATGCTTGCTATCAAGGAATTTATAATCCAGTAACAGAGGAGAATGTACACATTAATATGCAGTGCGGATAAGGGCTGTAAGAAATGTCTAGAGAAAGTGCCATAAAAACTTAAGAGATGATAACTTAATTGAGGACAAGGGCAGGAGGTGGGGAGGGTAGGTAGATGTGAAGGAAAACTTCATGGAGGTGATGGCATCCGAAGGTTCATTACCTTTGAATTCAGCCTTAAAAGATTTTTCCAGGTGAGGGAGGGGATAGGTGCAAAGGCAGGGAAGTTAAAGATCTCTTTGCAAGATACCAAGGACTCCAGAATCACTGGAATCAAGAGAAATGAAGCTGGACCAGATGTGTAGGACTTGAAATGCCAGGCCAAATAGTTGGTCTTTATCAGTGGCTACTGGTAGAAGCTAAAGGCTTTTAAGAAAGTAAGAATTCCGTTTGGGCTCTGGGAGGAGTGATGAGTGCAGTGCAGCATCCACTGGACACGGGAGGCCAGATGCAAGGGGCCTGTTTATTAAAAGGCCTTAACTGCTTGCCCCACGGCAGTGGGGATGGAGATGAAGAAGCGTCAGATGAGGTAATCTGCTGCCTCCATGTCTTCTCCGAGGCATCCCTACCAGCTGGAACCCTTTGGAGCCCCAGCATCTGCACGCAGCACTGTGGACATTGCTGCCCCATGGAAGCAGACCTGCCAGGACCTCTTTCTCCAAAAGGACAGGCAGTTCTCTGGGCAGCCTCCTTGGGTTTCTACTGAGGCACTGATACTAAGCAGATAGGTGCCACTCTTAGGGTCACTAGATTTAGCAAAGAAAAATACAGGATGCCCAGTAGATTGAAATTTCAGATAATGGAAAATTTTTTAGTACAAGCATGTCCCATGAAGTATTTGATGTATCAAATTCCAGTGTAACAGGATGTTCTGTAATTAATCTGCCAATCCTGACTGCTTCTCACTCTTCTCTGGCCCTGAGTTCATCTTCCTCCACCCCCATTCCCCATCTGTTACCTCCCGAATGGGTCTTCTGTGGGCTGGACGTCAGGTGGAGTATGTGCTGCTGGGAGAGCTCAGTCTGGCCGTTTGAGGGGTTGGTGGCCCAGCTCAGCACCAGGTTTGGTCTGTGTGTACAGCACGCGGGGCAGAGTTCTGTCTGTAATCAGACAGGGAGCCAGGGAGACACACCTGTGTCCCAGTGCCAGAGAGGGTGAGCGAAGCCCGAGGGAGCCTTGCAGGGTTCAGCCAGCGTCTCAGAATATACCTGCAGCCTGGAGGTGCTGTCCCTAAAATTTGGCCCCTCTCACACCTCACCTCCTCATCACCTCCCTTTTGGAGTTCTCCTTCCCTACTCACATTCCACAGAGGCACTTGGAGCTCTTCACCTCCACATACTGTTTCTAAGAAGGCTGAGTGCCGAAGAACTGATGCTTTTGAACTGTGGTGTTGAAGAAGACTCTTGAGAGTCCCTTGGACTGCAAGGAGATCAAACCAGTCAGTGCTAAAGGAAATGAACCCTGAATATTCATTGCAAGGATTGATGCTAACGCTAAATCTCCAATACTTTAGCCATCTGATGTGAAGAGCCAGCTCATTAGAAAAGACCCAGATGCTGGGAAAGATTGAAGGCAGGAGGAGAAGGGGACGACAGAGGACGAGATAGTTGGATGGCATCACCGACTCAATGGACATGAGTTTGAGCAAACTCCAGGAGATAGTGAAGGACAGGGAAGCCTGGCATGCTGCAGTCATGGGGTCACGAAGAGTCAGACATGACAGAGCTATTGAACAACAGCTGTTTCTAAGCTCATACTGTTTCCTTTGCCTAAAACACCCTTCCTACATTCTTCACCCACAAGTACCTCTCCTTCCCTTTCCCATTTCTCTGTGCCAGCCTGGGTCCAGGATCCTCCTTCTGGGTTCCCAAGGAACCCACAGCAAACCTTCCTTATAACCTTCTCCACAGCTGACTGTTTGCCGCTGTTACTGGTGTGTCTCCCATGGTGATGCAGGCTTCCTGGGGGTAAGGACATCCTCAGCATCCTCAGTGCGCATCCCCGTACCAGTACCTAGTAGGTGCTCAGCAAATAGATGCTGAATGAACAGGACGCTATTTGAAGGTTTTACTGCCCCTTAAACACGTCACGTCTCTGTGATCCTTAGGGAGCACCCACCTCCGGCTTTCCCCCTGCCCAGTGCGGAAGCCTGGACAGTTCTCCACACTTCAGGGATGGGAGGATTTTTTTTTTTTTTTTTTTTTTTTTGGCCATGTTACATGGCTTGCAGGATCTCAGCTCCAAACCAGGCATTGAACCCAGGCCCTCGGCAGTGAAAGTGCAGAGTCCCAACCACTTGACCACCAGGAAATTCCCCTTGTCTGGGGGATTTTTCAGCATTTTCATTAGCATTAGAGAAAACCTGTCTGGAAGGTCTCGGCCCTATCCTCACACCTTCAACCTCACACCCAGGCTTGCAGGGCTCGAGCACCCTGGCATGAGCCAGGGACAAGGGCTGGGCCTGCTTCCCTGTGTCCCAAGTCTCCCAGCTCCAGGTGGAGCTCGCAGGCTGGACAGAGGCTCCAGGTCAGTTGGTCCCCTCGTGCTCTCTTCTGCCCACAGCCTTCTGTGCCTTCTAGAACCATCCTCCTCACTGGCTTCAAATGCCCTTTATCAAGCCATTTGTTGCCTGCATTGTTAGGACTTGAGGAAATGAATAAGAACTGGCCTGCCTGCCTGCCCCCAGTGTGTGTGTGTGTGTTTGTGTGAGTATGAATCTAAGAAATGCTCCACCAGGGCACAAAGTGAACAAAACAAAGATGGATGATGTGGTTCTGTAAGGGGGTCGGGCCCTCCTCTGGGTGGTGATGGGGGGTGGGTCTTGGAGTTGTCTTGGTTATTAGATGCAAAGTAAAGGAGAGAGATGCAGAGTAAAGGAGAGAGATGCAGGTTGGAAGGAGGCCAGAAGGACAGCCCTGAAGCCGGGGTGAGTCAGGATGGAAATAGAATACCTCAGTCCTGCAGGTTCGTGAGACTGTTGGGGGAGGCATGGCCAAGAGGGAGTGTCTTCAGATGCTTCTAACATGAGCGTCACAAACTGACGTTTGGGTGGTGCTTTAGGAAACGTCTCCTGGAAGAGCTTGGCAGACAGGACAGTGACTGCCTAGGACAGGGTCTGGAGGGACATCTGGTGACCTGGGTTTTCAGTTCCAAAGCAGCAGCCTTCCTGGAGCTCAGCCCAGCGCCCATCCCTGCTCCTGGGATGAGCGAGGCCTCCTGGCCTGGCAGGCAGAACTGGACAGCAGAAACCCCGCAGGACACTGCAGAGAGGGCCCTCAAGCACCTGTTTGCAGCCTTTCCCCTGCGATCAGTGGTTTGGCCTAGGAAACCTTGGGTGTACTCAGCCACTGAGGAAGCCCTCCCCTGGTCACCATGAGAGGCAGCTGATCGGGGAGGGCATCTGTGGTTCTGCCCTACAGGCCGGCAAGGGACCTACATGTCAGGAAGGATCCTCACGCTAAGGTCCTGCCTTCAGCTTGGTCTTCTCTGGTGTCTCAGTGGAACCGGCCCCGCAGAGTAGGGCCCTTGGGGGACTGGGTGGCCCACGTCTTGCTGGGAAGCAAAGGCCGTGACCGCGCTCCTGGCCTGCTCACCGGGGGCTCCCTCTGCAGGTACCTGAAGGAGTTCCGCACTGAGCAGTGCCCGCTCTTTGTGCAGCACAAATGCACTCAGCACCGGCCCTACACCTGCTTCCACTGGCATTTCGTGAACCAGCGTCGCCGCCGGTCCATCCGCCGTCGGGACGGCACCTTCAACTACAGCCCCGACGTCTACTGCACCAAGTACGACGAGGCCACGGGCCTCTGCCCGGAGGGCGACGAGTGAGTGCCAGCCAGCCTGCCCTCCAAGGAGCCATCTCCTGGGTCAGAGGCTGCCTTCGGGGGACTGCTGCAGCCTGGCCCACCTTCCTGTGACCTGGACCTGGGCTCAGAGCCTGCCATGCCCCAGGGGAGGCCCCTTCTCCTTTTCCCACTTTTGGGATGCCCAGGGCAGGCCTTTCTTCTCCTAAGCATGAAGGCCACGCCTGAGCCAAGGTGGCTTCCTGGGCCTCCTGTCCTGGTCCCTGCAGGTCACAGGACCCTCTCAGCCCACACAGTTCCCACCACAGCTGTTTACACAGAGCCTCTCCAGTTCCCCTTTTTGCTGACTGAATATTTTGCCAGGGCTTCCCCCAGTGGCTCAGTGGTAATCGATGCCGGTTCGATCCCTGTATCCGCTGGAGAAGGAAGTGGCTACCCACTCCAGTATTCTTGCCTGGGAAATCCCATGGACAGAGGAGCCTGGCTGCAGTCCATGGGGTTGCAGAGTTGGACACGACTGAGTGACTAAAAGAACAACAAAATATCTTGCCACAGAGCTCAGTGAAGAGACAGCATAACAGAGGACAGGCACAAGGAGGTGTCACGCCTAGGACGGTCTCAGAGGGCTTACGTTGTGGCCCTGCCTAATATGTGCTTCCCCCACGCAGCGGGGGCGGTGGGGGTGGTGGGGGGGTTTGTGGGTGCGCCCCACTGACTGCCCCGCATCAGCCCTCCCCATCCTCTCAGGGGTCAGAGGCTTGCTGGTCCCACCCCCAGCCTAATGCAGAGCCCAGAGCTCAAGGCAATTTGCTTCTCTGAAGACCCCTGACCTGGGCAGCATGTGTCCTCCCAAGAGTGCCCCCCGGGAAGCTTCTTTTCAGGATGGCCCAGGGCCCCGACGGAATAGCTTTTGAGAAGCTGATGTGGAACACCAGGCCTTATCAGGCCCCACTTTGGGCTGCAGCCGGCTCTGGCAGTGGGAGGGTGGCTCTGTTACCACAGGAGAACCTGTCGCTTGCTCGCCTGCTTGACCCACATCAGTACCTCCTCTGGGTCATGAAAAGCCTTCCACGGGCCAGGAAAGGGCAGGGCTAGGAGCCCGGCTGTGGCGGGGGAGGTGAGTGACCCGCACCCCCGCTGTGTTTCAGGTGCCCGTTCCTGCACAGGACCACAGGGGACACCGAGCGCCGGTACCACCTCCGCTACTACAAGACTGGGATCTGCATCCACGAGACCGACTCAAAGGGCAACTGTACGAAAAACGGCCTGCACTGCGCTTTTGCTCACGGGCCCCATGACCTCCGCTCCCCTGTCTACGACATCAGGTGGGCTGAAGGCCGTGCCAGGCTGATGGCTGTGGGCCCCGGGCAGGACCACAGACGGAGTGCCTGGCTGGCACTCTGCTGCCCTCCTCCTCATGCCCCCTCCCTGCTCTGTCTCTCCTCTGCTGCTCTCCTCGCAGGGAGCTCCAGGCCATGGAGGCCTTGCAGAACGGCCAGACCACAGTAGAGGGCAGCATGGAAGGCCAGTCGACTGGGGCCGCAAGCCACGCCATGATAGAAAAAATCCTCAGTGAGGAGCCACGGTGGCAAGGTAAGGGTGGCCACACGGATGGCCAAGCCCCTGCCACCAGCTGCCTGTCCTCCCCAAGCACCACCCACTGCCTTCTCCACCCCAAACCACCACCTCTCCTGGGAGGCCTGTGCCCCCTCACCCCACCTCACACCAGCCAACTGCAGCCCAGTCCTGCAGGGGCCCTGCTGGGGGATTCTCCCCCGGGACCCCTGGCCCTGGTCCTGTCAACCCAGAGTGTTACGGGTTTCCCTCGCGGCTCAGACAGTAAAGAATCTGCCTACAATCCAGGAGACCTGGGTCAGGGAGACCCCCTGGAGAAGGGAATGGCAACCCACCCCAATATTGTCCCCTGGAGAATCCCATGGACAGAGGAGCCTGGCGCTCCGTAAATGCCTTTGGGGGCTTTCCCACACACACATGGCTGAGCGCGCACACGAGTAGGTGTATTCTCAGCCCTCCCGAGGGCTCCCTCTTTACTCTCTGACCTGTGAGCTTCTCCAGTGAGGGATGGTGGCATCCTCTTTACCTCTCTCCTGGGTTGCAGACTCGGCATTGGCTCACAAGGAGGGGACCCTGCTCGTTCCTGTCACCAAAATCTTGGCTCCTGGACCCTTCCCAGTGGCTTCCCCTTTCCCTGCCCCCACCCTGCCCAGCTGACCCCTGCCTCTGCCCCCATGTGCAGAGACCGCTTACGTGCTGGGGAACTATAAGACGGAGCCCTGCAAGAAGCCCCCGAGGCTGTGCCGCCAGGGTTACGCCTGCCCCTACTACCACAACAGCAAGGACCGGCGGCGGAGCCCCCGGAAGCACAAATACAGGTCCTTTGGGCCCAGCAGGCCAGCCGTGGGAGGAGGGTGGCAGCAGGCAGATCAGGGCTGAGGCTGCTTGCACTGTGCTCCCAGGGGTGGGGGGCAGGGAGGCCAGCCCCGGGGGTCGCAGGACCCCAAGAGCAGTGGGACTGTTTAGGAGAGCCAAACGATCCTTTGGTGTGAAATCAGGATCTTTTCACTAGAAACTCCTCTAGTTCTGACCCAGAAGGGTGTCTTCAGGGCCAAGCCAGGATGTGGCTATAGCCTGGCTCTCCTGCGGCACAGTGCTGGGGGGAGGGGAGGACTTGGCTGAAGGGAAGGAAACAGTGTCCTTCTGGCGATGTAGCCAGGCTGGGCAAGGAAGCAAAGCCCGGCTTCTGGCCCGAGCAAGGCCCTCACTCTCCAGCTGACCTTTACTGTTTCCGAGCCTGGCTTGCAAAGCCGGGAGACCTGAGGGGCCCTGAACAGCTGCGATCTCGTTAGCATCCCCCAGGTCCAGTCTCCGTCCCTTTGACCCACCCTGTTATTGAACCAGGTCGTCTCCATGTCCAAACGTAAAGCACGGGGACGAGTGGGGAGACCCCGGCAAGTGTGAGAACGGAGACTCTTGCCAGTACTGCCACACACGCACGGAGCAGCAGTTCCACCCCGAGGTGGGCCTTGGCGCCGCGACCCTTTGAGGGGCGGGTGTCCTGCGAACGTTGCTCCCTTACCTCCCAGAGGCACGCTGGGAAGATCATAGCCCTGACCAAGATAATGAGTGGGAACGATCCCTCTGTGAGAGCTGGGTCAGGGCTGGTTGGGCCTGTGACCCAGGAAGGGAGGTGGTCCCCGGCGTGGGGGTAACCGTGTCTGCTTACTCTGTCTTGAGCAAGAAGTTGGTAGGGAGAGATTTAGAGAAGTGGCCTCGAGTGGGGAGGGGAAAGAAGAGACTTCTAAGCTAACCCAGCCCTGCGGAAGACAGCCCTGCTGTCCCTCTCTGCCCAGGCCTGACCTGCTCTCTTCTGCTCTGCCCTCCAGATCTATAAATCCACCAAGTGCAACGACATGCAGCAGTCGGGCAGCTGTCCCCGAGGACCCTTCTGCGCCTTTGCCCACGTAGAACGTACGCTCTTCCCACTGCCCTGGGGCAGGGCCCGCTCCCCCACCCCGATCCCCTGCTGTCTGTCAGCCAGCAGTGGGCCCTACCCACACTGGGAGTTCCATTCCCCCGCTGCCGCGCCCCACCTCTCTGGAGCTGGCTGGAAACCCGGAGCTTCCAGGGTGGTGAGAGAGCAGGGACTGTGCCCCTGGTGGCGCGCTCAGAGTCCCAGGCAGAGCCCCGGCCACTGTGCCTCTCCCGTGGCGGACACCACTGATGGGACACGGCCCTCCGCCCTGCTGGGAGCAGAGCTGTCCAAGCGAAGCCTAACACAGCCCCCCGAGTCATCGCAGGTTTTCAAGTAACCTCACCCAAAAAAAAGGAATAGTTAGTTTTAGTATATTTTTATTTAACCCAACAAAATAATATCATTTAAAATATAATCAATATAAAATCAAGATTTTTTCCCCCCAAACCAAGTCTTTGAAAGCCGGTGTGTACTTGAATAGCTGCAGCACGGTCCAGTCCAGACCAGCCACATTCTGGTCTCAGCCGCGACCTGTGGTTCTGGGCTGCTGTGCTGCTCAGCGCAGCTCCACACCGCCCTGCCCGTCTCAGAGACAGGCCTGAGTTACTGCCCGTGTCCACCCCAGACCACTGCTGTTGGTCCTTAACCCCTTCCTAGCCTTAGGCCTTGTCTCAGGGATTAGACTAAAGAAGAAATTGCAGGCCCACTGAGGGGGAAGCATACACTTGGCTCAGAGGTGGGCCTGGGTAAGGCAGCATGGAGAACTGATGAATGGCCCAAGCTTTGGAGTCGTGTGGATTGGGGTTCAAATCCCAGTTCTGTTTGCTAGCTCAGCCACCTTGAGAGATGTACCTAACCACTCTGAGCCTGTTTCCTTATCTGTAAAATGGAGACCATGATATCACTTCTACCTTCCAGTCATTGTGAAGATTCACAATTCATACAAATCGCCAGGCACATAGTAAGTGCACAGTACAGTGTGTGATATTGATAGAAATAAGGAGGAGCCTTCCCTTCATACACAGGGGGCTATGTGGTCTCCTTTAAAGAGACCCACATGCATTTTTGGAGGGCTGGAGCTGGCTCGGGCCTGCTGACACCCTGCCCCCGTCTCTTGCAGAGCCCCCCCTCAGTGATGACCTGCAGCCTTCCTCAGCTGTGTCCAGCCCCACCCAGCCAGGCCCCGTCTTGTACATGCCGTCTGCTGCTGGAGACTCGGTGCCTGTGAGCCCCTCGAGCCCGCACGCCCCAGACCTCAGCGCTGTACGTGCCTGTCTGGGGGTGGAGTTGGGGGCACCATTCCTGCCCAGAGCCAGCATCTGCCTCTCTTGCCCTGTGCTTGGGGAGGTGGCCTCTGCCCAAGGGGTTCTGCCCTTGGAGCTGGAGGGTTCTTCTGTCAAAAGCTGTTCATGGCTGGGGTGGTGTCCCCAGAGCCTGTATCAGCTTGGGTAGAGCTGTAGATGGGACAGAGAGCCTCATGAGGTTCTGAGTTCTTGGGTGCTGGTGGCAAATGGAAATGGAACTGAGCCTCTTGCTGGAGACTCTCCCTCTGACACGGGGATGGAGGGTGGCCATGCCCCCACCTGCATCCTGCTCACTAGCCCACTCTCTCCCTTCGCTGCAGCTCCTCTGTAGAAACAGCAGCCTCGGCAGCCCATCTAATCTCTGTGGCTCCCCACCGGGCTCCATCCGGAAGCCCTCCAATCTGGAAGGCATTGTCTTTCCTGGGGAGTCTGGCCTTGCCCCTGGCAGCTATAAGAAGGCTCCTGGCTTTGAGAGGGAAGACCAGGTGGGAGCTGAGTACCTGAAAAATTTGAAATGCCAGGTAAGGGATGCGGGGGCAGCCCAGTGAGGTTAGCCACATTCTGCCTGTGGCCGGAGAAGCCCTGGAGGGTTGTCCTGGCCCAGCTAGGGGGAGCGTGACCCGGAATTAGAAAGTCCTCGATGCCAGCCTCTCGAAGACTTAAGAGAGTGGGTGAGGCCATCCCATTTTACAGATGAAGACAGGCAGGTTAGAGGGGAGCTCCTCACCCAGCGTCAGAGCCGTCTACCGAGGGCTAGGGCTTCCCACCGCGGTCTTCTGACCCCACATCCCGTCTCTGCTCTGCCCTGTGCTGCCTTGATGGAGCAGTAGGGCCTTGGGGAGCAGGACAAGAGGGGTGCCGAACTGGGCTTCTCTGTGACTTGGAGTCACCAGGGAGGAGAGGAGCAGCGCCCCTGGTCTCCAGGGGAGGGAAGGAGGGTCCGTGTGAGTGAAGGAGGACCACACAACAGTGTCTCATGCCTCCTTGCCCCCAGCCCCTGCAGCCTCCGCAAGCTGATGCCTGGGAGGATTCTTGGGCTTAGGAGGTCTCCTAGCACCACATTCATCTCCTGCTCCCTGACTTTCCTCTCAGGCCAAGTTAAAACCCCACTCACTGGAGCCCAGGAGTCAAGAGCAGCCCCTCCTTCAACCAAAACAGGTACAGAGCCCTCAGCCCTCGCCTTCCCCTTCCGGCACCTGCTGCAGACAGGATAGGCCCAGACCCCCAGGAGGCTTCTTCAGGGAGCTCCAGGCACCGCTTTCTCTACAGATTGAGGGCAAGATTAAGGTGGGGCCCAAAATCCAGAGGGGTCGGGGGTCAGTCCTTGGAGCCCCCCCACCACCTGGACTCATTCATTAGTCTAAAAACTCATTGAAAAAAAAAAAAAACAACATTGAGCAACTGGCACTGAACTCGCTTCCCCCTTCCCTTCTTCAGGGTTTTCGGGGCGAGGGGGCCTGCAGTCTCCAGGCCACACGTCTCCCTCTCCAGCCCCTCAGGAGGGTGTTGAGGGAACAAGCCGAGAGCTGGGACGCGCCCTTCCCATCTGCCCAGCCAGCCCCTGCCACCAGCCTCCATGGGCGGCCATCCCATTCCATCTCTTCGTCATTCTCATTGCAGGACATGCTGGGCATCCTCCCCGTGGGCAGCCCCCTCACCTCCAGCATCTCTTCCAGCATCACCTCCAGCCTAGCAGCCACCCCCCCTAGCCCTGCTGGCACCAGCAGCGTCCCTGGCATGAATGCAAACGCTCTGCCCTTCTACCCTACCAGCGACACGGTAGAGTCGGTCATAGGTAATTGGGCCGCTTCTGTTGCGGGTCTAGGAGCAGGCCTGTAGCCAGGGGCGCTGGGCCTCTGCGGTGAGGCTGGCCACTCAGACACCAGTCTCGGGGGCTCAGAAGGGGGGCGCTGCGAGCCCTTTGGCCTGGGCGGGACATGGGTCCACGGTGCGGGGCCGAGACGGCTTTCGAGCACGTGAGCCCTTCATGTGCTCTGCTGTGCAGGCTGGAAAAGGGGCCTCTCGCCCTGGGGGTGTGCAGTCTCCTTCCACCACAGGCGGCAGTCAGCCCCAACGGGCGTCCCTGTGAACAGCCCGCCGGCTGTCCTCAGAGCGCCTGGTCATTAGAGGCCCCTGCCCTGTCCTCAGCAGTCACGTGCGGGTGAGGCTTGGTGCCGGGTCCTCACAGGCACCGGGGTGACAGATGAGACAGGCCATTCCTGTGCTCCCCGTCCAGCTCCGCAGAGCGCAGTGCACAGGAGCTGGGCAACTGCTCGGCACTAACCAGAGGGTGCAGCGACCTGCCCGCCCTCGGGGAGCTCAGGGGAGGAGGCCTGAGAGCAGGGACTCTTCTTCCCCTGGGGCCAGCGTAGACGGCTTCCGAATGGAGAGCCACTGGAGCGGCACTGGGCTGGGGGTTGGTCTGGGGGAGGAGCAGCCAGGCACTATGGAGCCTTGAGATGAGGCAGGGGCAGGAGAAGAGGCAGTTACGGGCAGGTGGGTCCAGACAGCGGGGCCTGGAACCTGGGGACCATGTGGCCGCTCAGGAGGCCAGCCGGCTCACACGCCGCTCACTGCCTCCAGAGTCCGCGCTGGATGACCTCGACCTGAACGAGTTTGGGGTGGCTGCCCTAGAGAAGACCTTCGACAACAGCACGGTGCCCCACCCAGGCAGCATCACCATGGGTACTGGGCGGTGGGGGGCGGGGGCGGGTTCATGGGGTCCAGCCTGGCCCAGGGGTGGGCCAGCGGGCAGTGCCCTGCTCGGCGTGGCCCAGCATGGCTCACCCGGCCCTCACTTCCCCCTCCCGGCCTCTCTTGCAGGCGGCAGTCTGCTGCAGAGCTCCGCGCCCGTGAACATCCCCGGGTCCTTGGGCAGCTCTGCTTCCTTCCACTCTGCGTCCCCGTCCCCTCCCGTCAGCCTCTCCTCGCATTTCCTGCAGCAGCCCCAGGGCCACCTGAGCCAGTCAGAGAACACATTTTTGGGGACCTCAGCATCCCATGGATCTTTGGGTAAGAGCCAGTATGGCTCCCTAAGGCCTGGGGCGGGAACCTGGGCTTTTGGAAAGTGCCTTTGGGTGTTCTGTCCCAGCTGAAGGCAGTACAGAGTGGAGGTGAGAGCCAGGGGTCTGGGCTTAGAGGTGAGTCAGGCCTCTGGTCCACCGTGCTCTGAGCTGTGTGAACATGGACAAGTGACTTAACCTCTCTGCCTTAGTTTCTTCTGTTATGTGGGTATAATGGCAGTACCACCTCATAAGCTGGGGCTGAGGCTTAAATAATGCGAGTGAAGTGCCAGGTGCCAGACCAGTACACAGTGATAAGCACGGCCTCAGAGCTTCCAGGGCCTCTGTCTGTTCTCTGTGCCAGTGTGGTGGCTCTGCCTGTCACCCAGAGCTCCTGGAGGCCAAGGGAGAGGTTGAAAAGGGTCACCCCCAGCGCAGGGTGGCCTTCCTGGCCGGCAGAAGCACCAGGGAGACGCGGCTCTAACACAAAAGCTGTTTGCCAAACCCACCGTTGGAACCGTGAGGAGCGGGGCCCTGGAAGGCAGGTCAGCAGAGGGGCTGGAAACGCGAGGAGGGGACCTGGGGGTGTGAGTGGGGCCCGGTGAGCGTTCATGCGGGAGCAGATGTAGACCAGCGACGCCCAGCCGGCTGCCTCTCAGTCACCAGCAGCTACTACTCTTGACCCCCCTCTAGCAGCTGTTCCCAGAGACCAGAAACACCACCCCGCCCCCGGGGCCCCCGCGGGTGCTGGCCGTCCAGGTCACACTGAGCCTGTGCCTCCGCGGTGCACTTTGACTTTCCCACCAGGTGTGCGTTCTGCCCTGATCTCTGGAGACACTTAGAAATGATGTTGAGCCATCAGCTTCAGAGGCTTAGAGCTATGTCTGTCTGACTTGCCTCACACATTCTGGAGGCATCTTGACTGTATCCCTCCGTACTGGCCAACCATTCATTCATTCCTTCCCCGCTGAGCAGTATATGGATACAGTGTGGGCTCAACCATCCCTGCTGGCGTGTTGCCATGGTCTTCTGGGGGAGGCGCAGGCGCCAAGCCATGAGATCATACTTAGAGACCCTTACAATTGTGTGGAGGCAAAGGGCCGGCTCTGTGACTCAGGATAATGGGGGGACCTAGCCTGGAGGAAACACACCCGAGTGAGAGGACAGGTACAGTGGAGCGCCTGGCCTCCAGGACGGGGCCGGGAGCTGTGTGTCTCCACACAGGACGCTGCTGATCACGTGGCTGTACTTGTGTTGCTTGGAAGACAGACTTAAATCCATTTGGTTTTGGAACAGTCTGGCTATATTAGTGGGAAAGGGAGCAAGAAAGAAGTCATTAGAGTGATATATGTGGGCAGAAGGAGGCCAGAGGTGGGTATAGGGCTCCCTCGGAAGACAGGGGGCACCTTAGGGGCCACGGAGCAGGGGCACACGGTATAAGCAATTCAGTTGCTCAGTCGTGTCCGACTCTCTCTGACCCCATGGACTGTAGCACACCAGGCCTCCCTGTCCATTGCCAACTCCCAGAGTTTACTCAAACTCATGTGCGTTGAGTCGGTGATGCCATCCAACCATCTCATCCTCTGTCGTCCCCCTCTCCTCCTGCCCTCAATCTTTCCCAGCATCAGGATCTTTTCCAGTGAGTCAGTTCTTCACATCAGGTGGCCACAGTATTGGAGTTTCAGTTTCAGCATCATTCCTTCCAATGAATATTCAGGACTGATTTCCTTTAGGATCAACTGGTTGGATCTCCTTGCAGTCCAAGGGACTCTCAAGAGTCTTCTCCAACACCACAGTTCAAAAGCCTCAGTTCTTCAGTGCTCAGCTTTCTTTATGGTCCAACTCTCATATCCATACATGACTACTGGAAAAATGCGACGGACCTTTGTGGACCAAGTAATATCTCTGCTTTTCAATATGCTGTCTAGGTTGGTCATAACTTTTCTTCCAAGGAGTAAGCATCTTTTCATTTCATCGCTGCAGTCACCATCTGCAGTGATTTTGGAGCCCAAAAAATAAAGTCTGACACTATTTCCACTGTTTCCCATCTATTTGCCATGAAGTAATGGGACCGGATGCGATGATCTTAGTTTTCTGAATGTTGAGTTTTAAGCCAACTTTTTCACTCTCCTTTTTCATTTTCATCAAGAGGCTCTTTAGTTCTTCACTTTCTGCCATAAGGGTGGTGTTATCTGCATATCTGAGGTTATTGATACTTCTCCCGGCAATCTTGATTCCAGCTTGCGCTTCATCCAGCCCAGCGTTTCTCATAATGTACTCAGCATATAAGTTAAATAAGCAGGGTGACGATACATAGCCTTGATATACTCCTTTCCCGATTTGGAACCAGTCTGTTTAAGCAAACACCCACCAAATGACCAGGTGAGGGCTGAGCAGGTGATGGTGCTGGGTGAGCACATGGCTTAGCTTATCGCAGAGCGCAGGCCTTTGGAGCCAGATGTCCTGACTGTGTACTGGCTCTCCCGCTTACTTTCCTGTGATTCCTGGCAACGTGTTTTATCTCAGTTTACTCGTAAAACAAGGGGGCTGGGCCCAGGGCTCCCTGAGCTCTTCCTGCTCCAGCTCTGCCATTATCTGAGGCTCTGACCCGTGTCTTGCTTTCCTTAATCTCCTCCTGGGCCTTCACATCACAAGAAGGCTCTCCTTCTAACCTGACAGTAAAGTTGGGATCACAAATCACCATGCTCTCCGGCTGCTCTCCCCAGTCCCATGAATCACCTTGGGAGGCAAGTGAGGGGAACCCCACTTTACAGACAGGGATGCTGAGATGCAGAAGTAACAGGTGGCACTTACACATCCCTGTGAAGTTCCCAGCCTGGCACAGACAGCCCCCGAGAGCCCCCAGGCAGGACTGACAGGGCCTGGGCCCAAAGCCCTTCAGAGCGCTGATGGCCCTCCCCTTCCCGGGGCAGGTCTGAATGGGATGAACAGCAGCATCTGGGAGCACTTTGCCTCTGGAAGCTTCTCCCCGGGCACTTCCCCTGCCTTCCTGTCAGGGCCGGGGGCTGCCGAGCTGGCCCGGCTTCGGCAGGAGCTGGACGAAGCCAACGGCACCATCAAGCAGTGGGAGGAGTCCTGGAAGCAGGCCAAGCAGGTACTGAGCTCCCAGGCCCACCCGCCTTCCCCAGGGCCCAGGGCATTCAGCCAGAGCCTGTCTTACACGGAGTGGGTGCAGGGGTTGGGGGAGCCAGGGGTCCTGGAGTGCAGGGCAGAAACGCGGCTGTTTATTCTCTGCCCCGTGGAAAAACTCGCCTTGTCAGTTGGGACCCTGGGGTGGCTGGTATCACACGCCTGGTATCCCCTTTCCAAGCTGTTCATTTGGTCTGGTCCCATAGTACTGCGTGCCTCTCCCCAGAAGCCCTGACTCCTGAGCTCTGGGTCAGGGTTCTAGGTTCTGAGATGGGCCACAGCCTGGTTGCCCCTCAAGGTGCTGGCCAGCTCCGCCTGGCGCTCCCCTGCTCCACTGGGCTTGGCCCCCTGCCCTGCCCACAGAGGGTCTCTCGCAGGTCCTGAAACTTCTCTTTTCTGCAGGCAGCATCAGCCCTCCTCCCTGCCCCCCTTCCCAGACACCTGCCCCAGCTCCCAGCAGGCCCCGCAGCCACAGTGGCCCCCACGGGCCCCCAGAGACGCACTCTCGGGCAGGGGAGAAGGGTAGCAGGCCATCGTGACAAGGTGCTGCGTGTTGGGCCCACAGGCTTGTGATGCCTGGAAGAAGGAGGCAGAGGAGGCCGGGGAGCGGGCCAGCGCGGCGGGTGCGGAGTGCGAGCTGGCCCGGGAGCAGCGGGATGCCCTGGAGGTGCAGGTGAAGAAGCTGCAGGAGGAGCTGGAGCGGCTGCACTCAGGCCCCGACCCGCAGGCCCTGCCCGCCTTCCCAGGCCTGGAGGCCCTCTCACTTTCCACCCTCCACTCTCTCCAGAAGCGGCTACGGGCTCACCTGGAGCAAGTGGACAAGGTCAGCACCCCGGGGAGCACGGGTGAGGCTGCACAGTGGCCTCGGCCAGTGCTGGGACCCGGATGGGTCCCTGCCGCTCAGGTCCCTGGCCACCCTCCTCCCGAGAGCCTCTGCCCCAACTGAGCTGACCCAGGACGCCCGCACTGGAGGGGAGCTCGGAGGAGAGCGTCATTGGGGAGGGGAGAGTGGAGGTAGGGGGTGCCAGGGCCTCCCCCCTGCTCTTTGGAGGGCAGGCCTGAGCTGAGCTGCGTTAGTGCACCTGCGCCCCAGGCTTCATCCCGACCACTTCTGCTCTGTGCACGCCAGCAGACGTTCCAGAATGCTAGGTCCCCGGGGCTCTTGTCTGCATTCCTCAGTGCCCTGCTGGGTCCCAGGAGCATGACCTAGCAGGGAAGAGCTTTCCTCCCTTCACTGGACTTCGGGCAGCCAGGCCCCACACTTGGCCCTGTCACCTCAGGCCCAGCGGTACCCTCTCCAGACCCAAGAGTTCTCACAGGGGACCTAGGGTCACTACAAGATCTAACAAGACAAGAGGCAGGAAGCCTCGGTGCGAGGAAAAGTCTGACCCTGTGGGAGCTGCAGAGCAGCCCTGGCCTTCCCCCACCCCACCGGGCCCGCTGGGCCCACTGGCAGCTGCAAGCAGAGATCGGATGCCTCATGGCGATGGACCTGGCCTCTGACCCTGCCCTCCTGGGGGGCTGTGAGCAGGCTCTAGAGTGCTCTGTCCTAGTTTTCTCTCCCGAAGGGGCTGAAGTGAGAGTTGAGGGAGCTCCTGGTCCCATGGGCCAGGCCGGTGACCGGTGTCCCTTCCTCCGCAGGCCGTGTTCCACATGCAGTCGGTGAAATGCCTTAAGTGTCAGGAGCAGAACCGCGCGGTGCTGCCGTGCCAGCACGCCGTGCTGTGTGAGCTCTGTGCCGAGGGCAGTGAGTGCCCCGTCTGCCAGCCGGGCCGGGCCCATCCCCTCCAGTCGTGACCCTGCAGGCCTGGCCCCGGCCTGGCTCAGAGCTTCTCACCTAGGACTTTTTAAAGTATATATATGTATGTATGTATGTATGTATGTATGTATGTATGTATATGTATATGATTATGTATATGTATACATTTCTGTACGTGTGCAGGTATGCGTGGGCGGCCAGCGTGTGAACAGTGTCTGTGTGTATATCTGTACATAGATATAGACACACACTTTAAAACAGACTTACCAAGCACTTTTTAAAAGAAAAAAAACTATTTTGCAGTTCTCCCCCTGCCCGCTCCCTACCTTTCCTGCTGCAGAGACAAAGTCCCCTCTTCTCCCACCAGCCTTCTGGCAGGGAATTTGTTTCTGTCTCTTTTTTATGTAGGAACTAACTATTTTTAACTTTTTCCTGGGGCCTGAGCAGGTCAGGGTGGAAAGCTCGAGGGGGCCGAGGGGAGGGGACAAGCCTTCAGGGCAGGCCCTGTTCACCCTGCCTCCCCAGGCCAGGGCAAGCGCCAGAGTGAGGAGGACCTGGGGGCAACCCTGGTTCCCAGCTGTGAGGCTGAGAGGGGGTCCACGCCCGCCGAGCTCCTAGGTTTACCAAATGTGTATTTAATCCGGGCTGGCAGGCCAAAGCTGTGGGGCCAGCCCCACTCCCAACCCTGGGCCCTTGACGCTCCTCGAGGGGCAAAGCCCAGGCGTTCTACCCCTCAGGTACCTGAGGCCGGGGTCTTCCCCAGCCCTCCCCCCAGCCCTGGGCTCCTGGAGCGGCCTCCCTGGCCCTAGGGCACCTGGAGGCTGGCACTGCCCTCTCCACCCCACCCCTGCACAGCCCTCCCCCTGGCAGCTAGCAGGGCAGTGGGCAGGGAGGAGCTGCGGACCGTGAGGACCAAGGCAGGGCCCTGCCCTGCCCTCCTTGCCAGGCGGGGCTCCGTATGCATTCCGTGGTGCTCTCTGAGTGCAGCTGACGTCCTGCCCCTTTCGGGGGCAGGCGCCCGTGTGCATGTGTGTGCGTGCCTGTCCAATGTATATTGTGTCTTAGCTTCCATTTTAAAAATTGTTCTGTACAGAGAGATGCGGCAGGGGTGGGAGGGCAGAGTGGGCAGAGGGAGGCCACCCCGCCCCCCGCATGGGGGGTGTCTGGGGTGGGAGCGAGAGGGCCGCAGAGGGTCTGGCCCAGCCCAGGCCCCACCTTGGGCTTAGCACGAAAGGGCTTTCAATGAATCAAGTGAAAACTTTTTTACAAAAATGCAAAAATCAAAGCTCCAAACGTATTGGAAAATAAAATATGAACTTGTGATGGCGGCTTATTTACATGGGGGTGCGGGAGAGCGGGGCCCTAAATGGGGGCCTCTCGACTGTGCACTGGACCGGCGCCCAGCCTGGCCGTCCTGCCCAGGCCCAAGGGCTGCTCGAGGCTCCTGGACACAGGCCTGCTGGGGCCTTTAATCCTGGACCCGGAGACCGCCCAGGCCAGAGGACTCTTCAGAGCTCTGTCGTCAGTGGCAACTGGTGTAGTTAACTGTCTTCCAGAAGACAAGGCCCCCAGTAGTTTCTCAGGAACAGACAGTGCCTGCTCATAAAAGCATCAAAAGAAGGGTGGGCCTGTCCCTTGAGGGAGCCTTCGGGCCACCTCCCTCCCCCTGCCTCAGGGGAACAGGGCTGCCCGGAGCCTTGGAGATGACCTTCTCTGATACCCCTCTGCAGACTTGGGCAAGTGAATGACAAGTGAGCCCCAGGCTCTGACTCCCAGTGTGGGCCACTCCCCTAGGCAAGTCTGGGGCGCCATTCCTCTAAGCCCTGCTGTTCAGAGTGGCGCCTCGGGCTCAGCCTGCCCTGGGAGAGGCCCCCGACTCCAGGTGCTCTCAGGAGAGCGCCAGGCTCCTGTGCTGGCATAGGCCACAGAGCCTGCTATGTCTGGTTTCTTCGAAGCCTTCAGCCAAAATGCCAGTGATCCCAGTTGCCCCCAGCCCCTGCCGTGGCGTCAGTTACCTCCTGGGCTGGGGTCCAGGATCGGGGCAGCTCAAGGTCTCCTGAGGGCTGAGGAGGAAGTCTGCATAACCTGACTATAACCCGGGCCCCACTGCAGGCTAACACTTCATGTTTGGTGAGAGGACAGCAGATTGTTAGTTTATTTTTGCTAAGACAGTTTCTAGGTTGGTAGGCACTGTCCCAAGGAGGAGTGGTCCTCAGCAGCCCGCCGGTTCTCACACTTCGGAGCCAGAAGGTCCCTGGCTCCTGGCTCCTCAGCCTGGGTGCCGGCAGGGCCCTCAGGAGGGGACTGAGGTTCTCCCCACCACGGGTGCTGAAGAACAGGCCCCAGGAGCCCGCCCACCACCCCAGCGGCTAGAACAGGAGCCGGGCCGAGAACCTGCTCTGCCAGAGGAACTTCACCCCAAGAGGGGATCAGCGGTGAGGGAAGCAGACCGCTGTCCCCCCACCCCTGGGACGGGGCTTGCAGGGAACGCCGAGGCCAGGACCGGGGGCGGGGGGGAGTATAAATACTGTGAACCGGGCTCCCATCACTGGGCCCCAGCTCTGGCAGCAGGAGCCCCCACACGCTGGGGCTCCCCAGACCCAAAGGGCCCTTCTGGGGTGTTAGGCCAGGCGGGAGGGCTGCACTGTGGCAGGAGAACCCAGACCGCCCCCCCAGGCACCGAGCCTCCACCGCTACCGCCCCGGCTGCTGGGAGGCCTGCTTGGCCCGCTGCCGCCGCAGCCGCACAAACGCCTGGGCCTCGCGGTCACCCTTCCGGCTCTCCAGCAGCTGCAGGATCGGATCCCCTGCGAAGAGAGGCGTTTGCGGGTTCAGACTCGTCAGACGCGACGCCTGGCAAGTGGCCGGGTCTGCGGTCCCGCCCCGTCCTCCTGAGCCTAGGGATGGGCCCACCCAGCCACGCTCACAGGACAGCCTGGCAGACAAAACGGAAACGGCGTTTGCTGTCCCCCTGGGCAGCGGCGCCAGCCAGAACTCTCAGCCCAGCTGCAGCGCAAGAGGCTGATGTGCCTCAGGTGGCAACCATGACCTTTTCAGACAAGAACCTTGGGCCAGTTAACCAACGTGTGCCTCAGTTTGCTCATCAGGAGAACAGCAACAGCAGCCTCGCTGGGTGGTCGTAAGGGAGTGGTATGAGGGCTAATGGGTTCAGGGCTTAAAACTGGCCCGTCAGAAGTGCTCAAACACAAGACTTACTCCTCTCATCGAGCTCAGAGGCTGCTCTGCAGGAACGTGTCTCCTGGGCAGAGAGATGGCCCCTCTCCCCAAGCAAAACACAGTGACCTTATCCCACCAGGGAGAGGCGCGCACACCCGACCCAGCTTAGACATCACGGGTCCTTGATCAGACCTGAGATCTCAGCAACACAAGCACCACTCTGCCTCCAGGGAGGCGCTTCCTGATTCCTGACCCCCACGTTGCCGCCTATCTGGGGGCTCCAGAGCCTGGCGGCCCCTCCCCTGCATCCCCATGCTGGGCCAGGCCCCGCACTCGCAGCCTCTCGGCCTCTGCCCCACCCAAGGGCTCAGGCCTACCGTCAGGTGCAGGGTAGGTGAGGGGCAGGCGGGTCTGAGGCACCTCGCCAGGCTCCTCCGTCCCTGCCAGGCCGGGCACGGAGCGCAGCGGCAGGAAGGCCTCCCCCTCCAGGTCATTGGTCCCCAGCGTGTCGTGGTCCAGCACTGTGAGCAGGAGGCACGCCCCGTCCTTCTGGCACGGCTCAGCGGGCACCAGGCTGGGCCGGGGTACAGAGTCAGCTCAGCTGCCCGCCCCGCTTAGCGCCACGGCCACCCACCCCCAGACGGGTGGGGATTAGGATCGCGTCAGCTCTCAGCCTGGCATATCTTGGGGCACACGCTGTCATGCCTGCTCTGACTGTGGGCTGATGCTTTCAACCAGGGGCCCCTGTGTACCCAGGCCCCCCCTGTCTTGGGGAAAAGAGGACTTCGGAGACAGGACCCTTCCCTGAAAGCAAGCCTCTCAGTCCAACATGTGGGAGGAGTCTCCCCAACAATGCCCCCTAACTCCACCTGCAGGGTACAGGCTTGAGGCATGTGCCAGCAAACACTTGTCCCCACTGCCCCCTCCCTGGGACTCACACCGGGTCATCTGAGGGGAGCCCCTGGGCCCCAACTGGGAGGAGCAGGCCTGAGGTGGTCCGGGGTTGGGGAACACAGCCAGTGTAGGGACCACTCACAATTCAAAGGTCTCATCAAACAGTGGGTGAAGGTCCTTCTTGTGCTTTTGGGTCTCCCGGGGGGCCAGCTCAGGGAACTCATGCCTGGGTTCCAAGGTCAGCTGGACAAAGGGGTCGCTGGAACCTGGCAAGTGGCCCGGGAAGGGACGTTGGCCAAGGATGGCACCCCAAGCCCTGAGTGCAGTCCGCACCCCTGCAGCGGGGCCCTGCCTGCTGGCACCGCCTGCTGGTGGTCCCGGGGACACGCGCCGAGCGCCAGGAACTCGGGGGTGCCCGGGCACAGACCCGGAGGGCGGCCGGGGCAGCCTCCGCTCACCATTGGGGTCCAGGGGCAGCAGGCTGGAGGCGCTGAGCAGCTCCACACGCAGCTTCTGCGCGGAGGGGCTGTAGGAGGCCTTGACGGTGACGGCCCCGAGCTCCTCGGAGGTAGTTGCGGCCTGGGGGCGGGGCGCAGGGGCGGGGTCAGCGGGGGCCGAGCGGGCGGGGCGGGGCTCCAGGTGCGCGCGGTGAGCGCGGGGCCTCACCTGCTGCTGGAGGCGGCTGCAGAAGTACCTGCTGACAAGCTCCCGACTGGAGGCCGCCTGCAGCTCCAGGTCCCTCTGCAGAGCCTGAGGAGGGGACACACCCTGAACGGCCACCCCCAACCGCAGCCCAGGGCTGCCCCCGATGGGGAAGCCCACAAAGTGATGTGGAAAAACGCCCTGGGACCACAAGCCAGGGTTGCTCCTGCGACAGCCAGAGGCACCCACGCAGCGGGCCCCAACCGGCTTTAGAAGAACCTCACATTTGGTTTAAAGTTCTGCTATTGCTGTCTTAAATTTTTCTTTTTATTTTTTTAAGAAAGGGCCCATATTTTCATTTTGCACTGAGCCCTGTAAATTATGCAGCAGGCCCTGGACACCAGCAAGCACAGGAAGGCAGGCTCCCCAGTGCTGCCAGCTCACCCAAAGGCCCCTACCTGAAAGGTGGCGGTGTGCAGGGCCTCGGGCGGCAGGCCACAGCCCTCTGCATAAAAGCAGATCTCCAGGTTCTAGGTGGGGGCGAGAGGTGAGAGATGAGCCCCCCCAAGCACTCGTCCCAGCAGGGTCATCATTGTTGTCACTGGTGTTATTACCTGTAGTGCAAACTTCAGCCTGCTAGAGGCCAGGAGGCAGCTCCGCTGGGAGGCAGCCACCTCTGCCAGCACCGTGAGCGTGTGTGTCCAGAGCAGACTCAGGAGGCTGGGGGGACGTGCAGAGGGATGCAGGACACAGGATGGGAGGACAGAGAAGCAAGCAGAGATACTCTTGAGAAAGGGGAGGCCTCAGGGCCCCCAGGCCTGCCCCCAGGTCTGCCCTGCCCCCACCATCCACCTGGTGGGACTTCACTGGTGGGACTGGACCTGGGGTGCAGGCAGGGTAGGGAGGGGGGCTGGTCTCCTGAGGGAAGGGGGGGGCAAGGCAGCAGTCAGGCCCAGTCCTATCCACAAGCTGGTGAAGAATCCTCATAGGATTATCAAACCCCAATAAACAGGGGGGGAGGGGTTGGTCCCCCAATGACAGAATCTTGAGTGAAGATGCAAGTGGCCAAGATGAATAGGATCTCATGGATCAGCAGGTACTACTTGCAGGGAGAAAAAAAATAGCAAACCAAGCCACAGTCCATCCTAATAATGACCTGAAATAACTGAAATTTCACTTGTCAAAGTAGAGTCAGGCAGAGAAACACACACACAAAAATGTGTGCTTAAGCATAGGGGAGGTCTAGGGGCTTCCCTGGTGATCCAGTGATTAAGACTCTGTGCTCCCAATGCAGGGGGTCTGGGTTTACTCCCAGGGAACTAAGATCCCACACACAGCAACTCAAGAGCCCGCAGATGTGCTGCCCCGGCGGGAGAGGAGCAGGCCTCCAGGGTCAGCGGCCCTGTGTGGGAAACCAGTTGGCATCATCATCACCGTCCTCACTGCGGCTCAGTCACCGACCACTTCCTTTGTTGCAAACTCTTCTCTCAGCACCTCACGTGACTCATTTAGTCCTCAACAGAGGCCAGAACTATGATCAACTGCACAGAAACCTTGAGTAATCTGCTCAAGGCCATCCACCAAGCAGCAGTGAAGCTGGAGTCTGAATCTGGGTCATCCAGAGCCCACGCCCTTGACCTCTACCCCCTGCTGCCTGGTGTTCGGGACCCTGCTTCGAGAGACCCTAATGGGAAGCTCTCCTGGAACATGGAAGACGAACAACCAGGGAGGGAACAGTGGGGAGGGCAGAGCTTGCAGCCCCCGGAAGATGCAGCCCAGGGCTAAGGGAGGGCGACCGGCAGGTTTCAGCTCGGCCCGAGGTGAAGTGGACGGGCTTGTGCAGTCTGAGCACCCTGACCTGGGCAGCGAGCATTTTAAGAACCCGGTTCATCCTACCCCCGAGGATGGATGCTGAGGCTGGGCAGGAGGGGCAGGAGGGAGGAGAGAAGGCAGCGGTGAGACACTGCAGGGCAGGCGGCTACTACAGACCTACTGAAGTTCTCCTGCACCAAGTTGGTGTTCATGTAGCGGAGCTTCACCTCCAGGAACTTCATCAGGGGCAGAATGGCCTGGGGAGGGGTAGCAGCATGTCTGGCTTTGGCCCATTTGGGTACCACCTCCATCCCCTCACCCTGACCCAGAAAGGAAACAGGGCCAGTCGCTTTCCTGCCCATCTATGCGATGTCTGCAGAGCCGACCCCGGCCCCAGTGGGCTCCAGCCAACTGGCCTCCTCTGACAGGAACCTGCCAGGCCTGGTCCCGCCTTTGCCCATGCTGTTCCCTCCCACAGAAATACTCATGGCTCCCTCTCTTGCTTCCTTGAGATCTTGACTCAGCTGTTACCCTCTGAGTAAGGCCTTCTCTGGCCACTATCTAAAACTACAGTCTTCAGGGACTTCCCTGGTGGTCCAGTGGTTAAGACTCCGCACTTCCACTGCAGAGGGTGCAGTTTCCATACTGGTCAGGGAACTAAGATCCCACAAGCCACATGGTGCAGCCACAAAAAAGAAAAGCAATCCTTTGATCCTTCCCTTGCGTATTTGTTTTCTCTGGAGAGTTTATCATTATCTGACACATGTGAGCTTCCCAGGTGGCGCTAGTGGTAAAGAACCCTCCTGTCAATGCAGGTTAGGCATAACAGACGTGGGTTTGATCCCTGGGTCAGGAAGATGCCCTGGACGTGGGCATGGCAACCTACTCCAGTACTCTTGCCTGGAGAATCCCATGGACAGAGGAGCCTGGTGGGCTACAGTCCATGGGGTCATGCAAAGTCAGACATGACTGAAGTGACTTAGCACGCACGCACGTGTAGACATATATACATTTATACACACACACACATGTATAGTCCAATAATAGCTACAGTGAGAGTTAATACTCAGCTCTTTTTTAACCTCCCCTACTAGAATGAAAACTCTAGGAAGGCAGGGATTCTTATCATGGTGTCCATCGCTGTATATACCCAGTGTCTAAATCAATACCTGGGACAAAGTGGGTGCTTAAATAGCTGATGAATTAATGAGTAACATTCTCCCAAACTCTGATAGCTGAGTTGGTAAAGAATCTGTCTACAATGCAGGAGACACTTGTTCTATTCCTGGGTCGGGAAGATCCCCTGGAGAAGGGAAATGATACCCACTCCAGTATTCTGGCCTGGAGAATTGGCCAAAGAGTCGGACAGGACTCAGCGACTTTTACTATTCTCCCAAACAGTCAAAGGTGTACATTACTATCCCTGATTGCAGATGTGGAACCTGAGGTCAGCTGGCCTGAGTAACCAGGACAGTCATGTGACTAGGCAGTTGAGAAGGATGCAGGGCTATCTGGCTGCAAAGTCCAAGCCCTCCCCCACTGCACCCCCACACTGTCAGTGCTAGGAGAGCCTGTGGGATGACCCAGCCCCACCCTCTTAGCATCCAAGGAGGAAACTGAAGCCAGGAGGGAACATTCCTTGCCCACGTCTGGGGAGCTTAACTCTGAAGCCTCATGGCCTTCAGCCCCCTGCCCACCCTAAGCCCCTTGGCAATCCCTGACCCATGCTGCTGGCAAAGTCAGTGAGCAGGGCAGGCCACTCACGTCTTCAGGCAGGACGGACTCCCTGATGCCCACGAGTTTCTGGATGTGCTTGGCAATGCCCGCCTCCAGCTAGAGACACAAAATGGAAAGAGGGAGGCCAAAGGTGTGAGTCGGGGGGGTCGGGAGAGGTTGCCTAGGGCCTGAGTTTAGGTTTAGGAAGAGGAGGGGGCGGGGCACTGACCCCAGTCCTGCTGGGAGAGGACCTCAGGCTGAGGTTGGGTGGGGCAGGGGGGTCACTGTGGGTCAAGCAAATTACCTGCTCGGCCAAGGTGCAGACACCCGTGCGGATCTCGTGGCCCAGCCCCGCCAGGGCGCCCTGCAGCTGCGCATGCAGTGTGTTCTGCAGCTGCTCCTGCTCCAGCACAGCCCCCACCCGCTGCTCCAGCGCCTCCCATGCCAGCTGGGCGGGCAGCTTGCCGATCACCAGCCGCAGCTGCTCCATGTCATTCACCACCACGCACAGCTGCAGGTGGGCAGGGGCACGAGGAGGCAGGCTTTCCCAAACAGTGTCAGCACTGGCCAGCGCCTCCGCCAGCCCGGCCCAGCCCCCCGCTCCGGCACTTACCATGTCGGCTGCCTGGCCTTGGTCCTTCTGGCCCGCAGAGAGCTCCCGGGCACGGGCCTTTATAAGGCTGCAGTACACTAGGGCCAGCCGACAGGTGTCCTGGGGCAAGGAGGGGGTGATCAGTTTGGTGGGGGAGGGTGCCAGGAGAGACAAGTAGGGGAGGCACAGGAACCTCAGTGTCCTGGGGAATTCAGGGTGGAGTGTTCTGGATACCGCTAGGGTGAGAACTGGGACTGCTCAGGCAGCTCAATGGTAAAGCAGCCGCCTGCCAATGCAGGAGACACAGGTTTGATCCCTGGGTTGGGATGATTCCCTTGGAGAAAAGAGAAGTGAAAGTCACTCAGTCGTGTCCGACGCGTTGCTACCCCGCGGACTATACAGTCCATGGAATTCTCCAGGCCAGAATACTGGAGTGGGTAGCCTTTCCCTCTCCAGGGAATCTTCGCAGCCCCGGGATCCGACCCAGGTCCCCCGCACTGCAGGCAGATTCTTTGCCAGCGGAGCCACCAGGGAAGCCCAAGAATACTAGAGCGGGGAGCCTGTCCCTTCTCCAGCGGGCCTTCCTGACCCAGGGATCAACCCGGGGTCTCCTTCATTGCAGGTGGGTTCTTTACCAACTGAGCTATCAGGCAAGCCCTTCCCCTGGAGAAGAAAATGGCAGTCCACTCTAGTATTTTTTTTTTCCTCCTAGTACTTTAATCCCACTCCAGTAGTCTTGCCTGGGAAATCCCAGGGACAGAGGAGCCTGGTGGGCTGCAGTCCATGGGGTCACAAAGACCTGGACATGGCTTAGCAACTAAAACAAAGAAACCAGTGGCTAAGACTCTGTCCTCCCAACGCAGGGGCTCGGGTCTGATCCCTGGTCAGGGAACCAGAGGAGAACCTGGGTGAGAACTTGGGAGAAATGGTGGAGTGGGAATGAGGCTGCACCTCCACGAACTTGACAGTGATCATGAAGGCCTCCTCCGGGTCAGGCCAGTCCAGCTGCTGGGCAGTGTGGCTGATCTGGGCGAAGCAGGTGGACAGATCCACAGCCGACGTGCTGTGCTTGGTCAGCTCCCCCAGGGGCACCAGCTAGGAGGTGGGGGAGTGTGTAGAAAGGAGAGTTCTAGGCTTGCCAAATCCATGCCCCTTCCACCCCGCTTCCATCTGCAAGCATCCAGAGTTGATACAGCCAGCAAGCTCAGAGCCGCTCAGGGGGCTGCAAGGTGCACCAGCAGGGCTCCACTCACAGCCCGCAAGCTGCCAGGATGAGCCTTTATGGGAAGCCACGGTTTATCCCGGAGTATTACAGGAGACAGCGTTTCACACCTGTAACTGGCCTCAAAAGCACCGCTCAAAGCTGGTTACCCGCTTCCGCACCTGCTGCAAGGTCCCGGCAGAACCGAAAGCCACACCCACAAATCTGGGACTCCGCCCCTAGCAGGCCTGACCCCTACCTGGTCCATCTGTACTGCGCGCTGCACGCGCGCCAGGGCCTCGCTGTAGGTTTTCTGCAGCCAGGACGGGATGGCTGGCTGGAACCAGCGGTGGAAGCCTTCCAGGGCCAGGACGCCATCCCTGGGAAGAGCAGGGGTCAGCCTGGGGGGCTGCGAGCCCTCCTCGCCCCGCAGCCAGTCGACTACCCACCTCTCCGAGGGGAGTGGGCCCAGCTGGTAGAGCTCCTTGAGGCTGATGTAGAGCTGGAACAGGCTCTCGCCTACCTCTGGGGTCACCGAGCTGCCCACCAATGCGATGTGGTCCTGCACCCGCTTGGCCACCTGAGGAGGGAAGGCGTGGTGGGCGGAGCCCCAGAGGCAGGCGTGGGGGGTGCGGCCGAGGGATGCGGGGAGCCTCACCAGCCACTGCAACTCCAGGAAAGCCATGGAGAAGAGGTCGATCTTGAGCACACTGGAGGAAAAGCAGCAGGCGTGACCTGGCGGCACACAGTCGGGTCCCTCTGCGAGCCCCCCTGCACCACCGCCCCCCCCCACCCCCGCCCCGCCGCCCACTCACTTATGGAAAATCTTGTTCCATGTGCGCTGGCACTGGTGCAGGTCACCAATGATGTCCTGTACCAGGCTCAGTAAGGCCTTGCCCATCTCCAGCAGCCCCTGGCAGGGACAGAAATGAGCCAGGCAGGGCTTCGAGCGGTGGGCATCCAGTCCCACCACCTACCACCTGGCATGAGCCCCTCACCTGCACCATGGGCTGATGATGCTGCTGCTTCAGGTGGAACCATCCCACGGTGCCAGCCTGGGGGCAGAGAGGCCGTGAGCAGGGAGGGGTACCAGGCCCCAGGCATGCGCCCTCCCCACCCCCAGGGCGGTCACCGTACCCGCAGCGCCTCGGTCACCAGGCTGGGCAGGGGGGCGCTGTCCGGGCACAGTTCCCCAAAGGCCTTCATCTTGCACATCTGTACCAAGACCCTGGGGGAATGGGGAGCTGTGTCCAAGATGCTGCTGCCCCACGGCCCCCGTCATTCCTCCAGCAGGCTGCCCACCCCTCCCCTACACCCCCACCTCCGGCCCAGAGGTGCCCATGGGGGCAGGGGTCACCACTGACCTGAGGAGGGACTGCAGCCGGGCTGGGGAGTCAGGCACTGAGAGGGGAAAGACAGACCGGAACCTCCGGATGAGGGAGAGGCCATAGGCCAGCAGGGAGCTGAACGAGGTGGCCAGCTCCTCCAGCTGCAAGGCCCAGAAGGTTCCATGAGGTGGGGGCTGCTTTAGGGGCCGAAGCCATTCCCTGAGCCCTGCCTGCCCAACAACCCCCACCCCCAGCTCCCCCCAGCCCACCTGCTCTGCCTTGAGTCGGCCCTGGATCCACTGGTATTCGATGCTGGTGATGGGGAACAGGAGGCAGCTGCTAGGGAACTCCAGGGTCTGGTAGAGATGGCTGTAGGCCAGCCACTGCCTGTGGCAGACAGGAGGCCCTCAGCCAGCTGGGGGACCTCCTTCCCCACAGCTTGCCTGGCCTGGGGGAGGGGGTCAGGGGTGGACAGTGCCCAAACCTCCCCAGCCCCACTCTGCCCCAAAACCTCCCGGGGTTTCTCGTCAACCTTTAGAGGCTGAAAACCAGTGACTGAAAATAACCCATGGGATTGCTTTTGTTCCCATAGTGAAAGTCGCTCAGTCATGTCCGACTCTTTGCGACCCCACGGACTGTACAGTCCATGGACTTCTCCAGGCCAGAATACTGGAGTGGATAGACGTTCCCTTTGCCAGGGGATCTTCCCAACCCAGGGATCGAACCCGGGTCTCTGGAATTGCAGGTGGATTCTTTACTGTCTATGCCACCAGGGAAGCCCTTTGTTCCCATAAGGGCTTTTTAAAACATGTAAATGAATTGCCCCGTCTCTTAAATTAGAATCTTTGAGATTTTAAAATTCAGGACTTCTTGTTTCTTTAAAAAAATCAGATTCGGAGACTTAAGCCTTCAAGTCCAAGTCCAAGTCCAAGCCAGACAGAGCATCCCTTTGGAGAGCTGAGGGGAGACTTCACAGAGGGGGCAGAGCGGAGACAAGCTGGAGGGTGAAGGAGGCTGGGGCGGGACAGCAGCGCAGGACAGGCCTCCTCCATTCAGGGACGCAGCGGCCGCCCGCATTCCCGCTGGGGCCCTGGGGCTGGGGCGGCAGACTCAGCTGCCCAGAAGGACTCAGGTGATGTCAGAGAGTGAAGCATCCAGCGGCAGCCATGGTGGACGGGGGAAGCCAGGCTTCCCTGCCCTGACCCCCTGCCGCCCAGCAAGGTGGACAGCCCTGCCACTTCAGCATGAATCTTTCATGGGAAGCTGGAGATGTGGATCTGCATGGGAAATCTCCAGATTTTAAAAGTTGATGACTGGACTTCCCTGGTGGTCCAGTGGTTAAGACCCTACCTGCTGATGCAGGGGACACAGATTTGATCCCTGATCCGGGAAGGTGCCCCATACAACTAAGCCCATGTGCCACAATTACTGAAGCCCGTACGCCCGCCTGCTCTGCAACAAAGAGAAGCCGCTGCAGTGAGAAGCTCGCACACCACAACTAAACAGTAGGCCCTGCTCGCCGCAACTAGAGAAAAGCCCACACACAGCAACGAGGACCCAGCGTAGCAAAAAACAAAAAGTTGAGTCAGTTGGCCACTGACTCAAAACTTGAAATACACAGTTTGGGCCCCAAACAGAAATCTCTGGAGGGTTAGACTTGGGGCTGCCAGCCTGAAGGAGGGCAAGTAGGGAGGGAGAGGGTGGTGCGGTGCAGACAGTCTTCGGGTGCTCTGGCTGGGCTGGGCACTCACGCCAGGGACCGGTGGAAGTCAGACAGGTCCTTCTGCGTGGCGTGGAGGAAGAGGATGGTGGCCGCGTGGGAGCTCAACAACCCATCCCAGGAGGTGCTGCCAGCCTGAGGAGGCAGGCGGAGGAGTGTCAGGACCTGGCAGGCAGGCCCTGGCCCCGCTTGGCCCTAGCAGGGCAGTACCTGGTGCTGGGTGACCTCGTGGGACACCAGCTGCTGCAGGAGGTGGAGGTGTACCGTGTAGCTGGGCTGGGAGCGGCTGGCCTTGGTGGCTCTCTGTGGGGAGGGCCCCAGCATGGCTGTGAGCAGAGGACCCCACGCGTGGGGCGGCCCCTCCTCCCCACCCAGCAGGGCCACCTACCCGCTTGTGGATAAACTGGAACTGGAGGTGACACTGACCGCGGTCCGGGTAGGTGTCTGTGCAGGGCTCCAGGGGGTACCAGTGATCCTCACGGCAGCGCAGATCCTGGCAGGCCGGGTAGGCAAGAGGTGCCCACGTCCTTGAGCCGCAGGAGCCGCTAACGCTTGGGGGCCAGGGAGGCAATGGGAGGCAGACCCCAGGCTCCACCCGGTATAGACCTGAAACTCCTCCCTTGGACCCCTCGTCACCCCCACTCCACTCACCTGTAGTCTGAGAACCACGTTCCCCAGAAAGTCATCCTGGCCTTTGTCCTTCCGGGCCTCCTTAAATATCCTGTCCCAGGGAGAGGGGCAGAGCGCCTGGCCATGTCAGGCTGGGATCGGCTCCCTACCTCTGGCTACCTGGGTCCAGCCAGAGCCTCCAGTCCAGCCACCAGGGTGCACGTGGTGGGGGGGCTGCGGGCAGGAGCCCCGATTCCTCCCGGGGAGGACCCCATGGCACTCACCTTCTCAGCCCATGCAGGTCTGTGAGCTCCCCAAGTTTCTGTCTGACGGACTCCACGGCGTCCATGTCCCTGGTGTGGGCAGAGGCTTCAGCGGGAGGTGGACAGGGTGTCCTGGGAGCCCCCGGCCCCTTCCTGCCAGGCTCACTCCCGCCCCTTTCTCTTACCCACCCCAGCGGGCGGGGCTCGCCCCTTACCACATGTCCAGATGAAAGCTGGCATTGCTTATGTCCTCAAACTCTCTGTAGTGAGAAGAGAGCATGGCTGAGGGGCTTGGACGGCTAGGCCCCCTGACCAGGTCACTGGACCCCAGGCCCGAGCCTGCCATCCTTAAAGTCAGTTCAGTGCAGTTCAGTCGTTCAGTCATGTCTGACTCTTTGCGACCCCATGGACTGCAGCACGCCAGGCCTCCCTGTCCATCACCAACTCCCGGAGTTTACCCATGTCCTCAAAGTTACCCATCCTCAAGTCTTAGCTCTTGCCTGCCAACTCCTCCTCCTTCTCAAATGCATCGCCCCCTCCTTCACCCCCATTAACCCAGACCTGCCTGAACCCCCCTTCCCCAGCACGTGGCGTTTATGACACTGCCCTGTCCCGTCTGGCCTCCGGCCTGTCTTCCCTGCCTTGGGAGCAGCCTCCTCCTCCGGCCAAGCCACGCTCTCTCCCCTAAGCCAGGAAGTCCCGCTGATCTCACTGATGGGGGCACCGCCACCACCCGACTAGCCCCTGACGACCAGAGGGGGTAGGAGCCGGGGCAGGGCCACGTACAGGATGAAGGTCTCGTCCCAGACGGGGTTGAGCGTCTGGGTGATGACCTGGGTGCGGTGGGTCTGCTCCTCGGGGATGGTGTGCCTCACCACAGCCTTCTGCCGGCGCCGGAGCCCCGGGCTAGCCCCGGACACCGTCATCCCCTGCTCGATGCCCAGCAGGCAGTAGGGGTCACTGAACCCTGGGGAGGAGGGGGTCAGGGAGGCAGCCAGGGTGTTGGCTAGGCTCCCAGGTAGAGTTCTTATCACCCTCTCTCCATCCCAGACTCCAAGGGCCAGGGGCCAGCAGCCCCCAGCTGAGTCCCAGGGGACATCTGGGGGATGGGAACTCTGGGACAGGCTGTGACAGGGAGAGGAAGGAGCCAGGAAGAAGGCCCCGGGTCCCCATCGCCTACTCACCGCTGACATCCTTGCCCAGGATACCCTTGGCTTGTTTCACCGTTGCCTTCAGACAATAGACTGGTTTCTGGAGCGACAGGAGGTGGGGGCTGAGTCCCCGAGGGAGCTGGGCTTCCCAGCACCCCTGCTGGCCCAGGGCGGCCCTGGCGGGTTACCTCGAGCTGCTGGACACGCTTTAGCATCTGCTGATGCTCCTCGGGCTCCATGCGGAAGACCTGGTGGGGCAGGAGTGTGGGAAGCTGGGGGCATGGGGTGGGGGCGGCCAGGCTGCAGGGAGGCGGGTGGGAGGGGGCCAGGCTCACCTCCTGCAGGTACCGCAGCAGCTCGGAGGACTCCCTCACATGGTTGGGCTCGGGCTGCCCCAGCCGGTACAGGACGGTGTAGAGAGCTTCCTCGTAGAGCAGGGCCCGCTGAGACATGGCAGGGTCACCGCGGGAACCCCCGTCCACCCACCACCACGAGGTCTGAGCGCCACCAGCCACCCTGGCACCCACGGCAATGCCCGACACGGGGACCAGGCGTCCGCACGCACAGGGAGGGGAGAGGGCTGAGGCCCAGCCTTGGCAGGGGGCAGGGGGCTGTTTGGGAGGATGCTGGCCCGCTTCCTAGTGCCCCTCTGTACCCCCGAAACACCCCGATTCTTACCTCCTCAGGCGACAAGTGGTGGGATGAAGGCTCGATCTGGGGAGTGAGGCAAAAGGACAAGGTGTCCCAGGGGCCTGGACTGGGGTTTGGATGCCCATACGGCTCCCCCCAGGGCAGGCCCAGCCTGAGGGCTCGGGGGCCCCAGCATCCGGCATCTGGCCCCACGGTGCCGCGCACCTGTTCCTGCGGCAGGCCTCCTGGGGGTCCAGCCCCCGGGCCACCTTCCTTGTCCCCTGGCCTGCCGTGGCTCGGGTCCATCGGTTCTCAGCTGCCCCCCACCCCCGGCAGCGTGAGCTCAGCACGGCCAGTGGCCCCAACCTTCCTTCCTTCCCCAGAGGAAACAGGGCTGCTTATCGGTGGCTCCGCTGCACCCCAGCGGCGGAAGTGAGGCCCAGCAGCGAGGTGGGAGACTGGGGGTCATGCCCAACGGGACTGGGGGCTGCTCAGCGGGTCCCCCGAAGCCCAGCCCACAGCAGCGACACTCCTTGCCTAATGGAGCCCATGGAACAGGCCGAGCTCAGGATGGCCAGCAGGGGTAGGGGTGGGGGCTGTGGGCGGGGGCAGGGGCCCACCAGAGGGAGGGGTCTCAGAGAGGCTCAGACCCTGGGCCTGAGGCTCTGGGGAGCCCAGAGAACTCTGCTGGCAGACTCCGCTGTTCAGCCAAAGGCTCCGCCCGGGGCCGGGGTAGGGCCAGGGAGGGGAGTAGAGCTGCAAGAGGTGGGGCCCCGCACCCAGAGCCGGCAGGGCCCCACCCAGGCCTGCTCGGCTGCCCACTGAGGTCCCTCCTACCTCCTGAGCCCGTGGGGGCCGGGGATCCTGCAGATCTCTGACCCTGTGGCGCCTTATCTTGATGGCCTGGCGCAACAGGGGAGGGCGCCGCTGGGGCCGGGAGAAGAGCGTAGCCATGGTGTCCAGCCCTGCCCTTCCCCTCCGCCTGGGGGAAGATAGTGAAGCCACAGGGTTATGCAAAGAGCCCGGGGCTGCCACCCGGTTCCAGGGGAGGGGGAAGGAAGGGCAGGCCCGGGGGAGGGTCAGGTCAGGGTTTCACCACCTCGGGGTGAGGGCCCCTGGGTCCCTGGCCCCTGCACCTTCCTCCCTGGGGCTGGCTGGGATGCTGGGAGGAAGCTGGGAGGACTGGAGACAGAGGCAGACTGGGGGGGCGGGGGGGCGGGGCTGCCCCACTGCAGCCTCCCACACAGGGGCCCTGGGGAAGGTCCAGCACCCTCCAGCAAGGAGCATGAAGGCCGGGGGACAGCAGCCCCCCTGGGTGACTGAGGGAGGCCCACCTGGCCGATGGGTCCTCACCCGCAGCTTTCCCGGAATGGGCTGCAGACCTAGAGTTGGGGCAGAGGGTGGGCAGGGCACAGGGTGGGGTCCCCGGAGAGGCGTCTCTCCCGGACCAGCCAACTGCTCAACCTGCTCTGCCCCACAGGTGACATTCCACTGAGCTGACGGGACCAGGCTGTGCCGGGCAGGGACGGCCCCACGGCCCCTGCCCCCACAGGGAGGGCGCCCTCTTCAAATGCCCTTGCAGAGGGTTTCGCCAAGCCCGGGGCTGCTGGGCAGGGCTGGCCAGAAGGAAGGGGCTGGGGAGGTGACTTGGTCCAGAAGGCACAGGACCATGGATGCTTCAGGCTAGGCTGGGCCACACCACATCCAGGGCCTCCCTGCAGGTCAGGGTCCCGGGGGTGCAGGCCTGGGGGCTGTGGCCATGTCCCGCCCTTCCTGGCCTCAGGCACTGAGGCTCTTCCCAAGGAGGGCGGGGCAGTGACCTCAGGGCAGGGCAGTGGAGCGAACACCCATCCAGCCCGGCTCCGGTCGGAGGCCTCCCACCTGGGCAGCTGCTGGGCCCCGGGGTACTCCGTGGGTGGACCTGTTGCTGAGCAACCCCCGTGAGACGGACACGGGAGAGGCCTCGGCATCCTGGGCCCAAATGCGTCAAGAGAACAAGGGACTCTCAGGCGGGAGGGAACACCATGGCCCTGGGCCTCCCCCGCCTCAAGGCCAGACAGCCCCACTTCCCAAGAGCACCTCCCTCACCACACAGAGCCAGACAGGGGTCCAGTCACTTCACTTTTACTAGTTCACATTTTGAGCAGACAAATCAAGGTGCAAACAGGATTTATTTCACATTAATATATTAACTAAATTTTTTTTTTTTTTTGTCAAATAAATAGGGAATCCTCTTTAAATAACCATCTCCTCTCTTCACAGCCAGTCCAGGAGCAAGTGAGAGCAAAATTTTAGTGCATCTAGGGGACACATTGCCAACCAGGCGTGAAGCTTAAAGGGAAGAAGGCAAGCTGAGGGGCTGGCAAGAGGTCAGGGTCAACGCCCAGGCCGGGCCCCGGGGCCAGGGGTCTGGTTCCCAGCCCACCCAGTGGCCCCCAAAGGGACATGCATTCTCCAGTTCCAGTCTGAGAGGCCCCTACTAGAGGGAAAGGAGGGGTGAACGGAAACAAATTCCAGACTAGTGAGGCAGCAGAGGGGCACCGCCCCCAGCCACGGCTGCCCTCAGGCAACCCACTCCCGGCGGCTGGTGGGAAACTCCAAACGAAAGAAGAGGCGAGAGGAAGACCCAGGACGAGGCAGGGACGGGAAGGTGAGCGTGAAGGGACGAGGCCGGCTGGGAACGGAATGCAGGTGGACAGTCGGCGGGCAGGTGGCCCTCCTCAGCCAGGCACAGACAAGGGCAGATGGAATGTGAGTGGGGCCTGGCAGGGCGCCCAGGGCGAGGGCAGGTGCAGGCAGGGCTTGTGAGGCTGGGGATAAAGTGGCTACAAAATCAGAGAGCTGGACTGCGGCGGAGGAGGTGGCCAGAGAGTCCCTCCATGGGCAGAAGCTTCGAGAGCAGGATGGAGACGAGGGGGGTGCCCCCCGCCCCCCAACGGGACGGCTCAGGAAGCCGGCGGGCTCCGGGCTTGCGTGGGAAACTGGGAGGCACCGCCCCAACTCAAGGGGCCCCCCCCTTCCCTCAAGGCGAGTTCCTGATAACTGTTTTATGTCAGAGCTGGAGGAAGGACAAGGCCCTCCCATCACGTCCCACAACCCCGACTCAGCCCCGAGGAGAGAAGAGAGCGAGGGGAGGCAGGAGGAGGGGGTGGCGGGGTCTACTGGGTCTTCTTATCTTCGGGGGGGTAGTAGGGAGGTGGTGGAGGCTGGTTCTGAAGAAGAAAGGAAAAATCACATTAGGACCGTCCGAACAAGACGAGGTCTCTCCTGCCTCTGAATCCCAGCAGCTGGGGCTGCGGAGGCCCCTCCAGCGCACACCCACCCCACTCACCGTGGGCATGTAGACGTTGTGTGGGTTGCCCGGGTTGTAATAGGCGCTGGCAGCTGCTTCCGCGGCCTTGGCTTCAGCTGTGAGAACACGCACATTGGGGATGAGCCCGAGACAGGCCTTCCCGCCGCCTCTGGCTGCCCCTGCAACCCCAGACCCCTGGTGCTTGGGTGGCTGGTGCCAAGGACCCAGTTCCACGAATCAAAACAGTTCCCACTGTTGTTCCACTCAGCGGGCAACCTTCCCTGAGTGCTTCCGGCACTATCGGGACACCCCCGTACAACTCCCCGTCGGGTCTTCACCGGGACGCCCCCAGGTGGTTCTGTTGGCACATTTTGTGGACAAGAAGACTGAGGTACAGAGGGAAACCTTTCCCAGGGAGCACGGCCAACTAAAGGTGAGAGAGTGCGCTGCCGTCTACTGATCTCTCTTCACCACTGGCCACCACGCAGCCGGTCCCCTGGGGCTGTCCTAGGCCAGTGGCTGTGTGTTATCTGGGGCTTCCGCGCACCCATGGGGAGCAGCCCAGGGGCTGAGCTCACCTGCAGGAGTGGAGGGGACATCGGGGCCACTGACTGGAGGCTCCATGGGCCCGGGGTAGGGCGGCGGTGGGGGCTGCACGTACCCCATGGCCCCGTCCATCATGGGGGGTCCCGGATAGAACTCTGCTCAGCGAGAGGGACAGGACCTGGTGAGCGGCACTGCCCTGGCCCCTCGGCTGGCGCCCCCACCCCAGGCCCCTCCGGCTGCTCCGTCGGTCCTGAAGCAGGTCCAAGAACAAGTCTCCCCTCTGCAACCCCCTCGCCTGGGCGGAGGTGGTTAGTGGGGAGCAAAGGTCACACTCACCAGGTGGGGGCGGTGGGTAGGGGTAGCCAGGAGGGCAGGGGTACATTCCATTGGCGACTGGCGGGGGGAAGACATAGGCCCCGCTGGGCATGTAAGAATAACCATAGGCTCCGTTGGGGGCTTCGCCTCGGGAGGCTACAGTACAAGGGGAGAGAGAAGTGAGTGTCTCCAGCCTCAGGCGCGGGGCCTCAGCCCTCCCCGATGGAGGCCGCCTCGGGCAGGGGTGGGGCGAGGGGTCTGGGTGGGGACAGAGGTCAGAGCTGGAGCGGAGGAGATGGGGGGAGGGGAGGGGAGGAAGTAGGTCCAGGGAGGGGCAAGAACAGAGCTGGGGGAGCCTGGGGCCAAGGTGAGGAGGTCTGCAGAACACAGCCCTTGGGGACTTCACAAGTTGCCTCATAGGAGCGTAAAGGCTAGGTTTCTTTCAGTGAGGCCAAATGTCCTCGAGGCCAAACGGCTCTGGCAAATTGTCCTATACCTGCTCCAGGCAAGGGAACCTCAGCCTTTGGGGTACAGGGCGTTGGTGCTAATTACAGGTTTCCTTCCCACCGCCCCGGTGGTTCAGACAGGAAAGAATCTGCCTGCGATGCTGCGTCGGGAAGATCCTCTGGAGAAGGCAATGGTTACCCATTCCAGTACTCGTGTCTGGAAAATTCCATAGACAGAGGAGCCTGGCGGGCTACAGTCCAAGGAGTCGCAAAGAGTCAGAAAGGACTGAGTGGCTAACACTTTCACTTTCCCTTTCCCAACTCCCAGCCCTGGGCAGACTTGGGCCCAGGAATTCACCTCCTGACTGTTTAAAAAGCAGAACTGAAAGGAAACAACCCAAATGAACAAAATAGCACACACGTGTCCTCAGCCCCGGATTCTGAGAGCCTCAGTACCTTGAGATGCCACCTGTAACATCCGCTGCCCAAATTCGATGGCGCCCCCGGACATAAAGGTCAGCTTGTAGGATGCAGAGCCTTCCCAGCCACCTGAGAAGAGAACAGTGCATCAACAGCTCAGAGGAAGAGCGTTCCGTCTGAAGAGATGGCTGTGCGTCCGCTCCAGGCCCCCTCCAATGGCCTGCTGCACACATCGCATGCCAGCACTGCGACCCGGCCAGCCCCCTGTCCACTTTCTGTGCAGCAGTCTTGTAAGCACAGCTGCCCTGGGGCCTCCCACCTCCAGTAAAGCAGCAACAGCTGATCCAAGTTCAGAGCCGACCTCTCACTCCCGGGGGAAGGGGTGGCGGTGCCGAGAACAAACCCCTACACCTCCAGCCTGGCTTCTGTCCAAAGGGGAACCGTGAGCTCAACAGCAAGGCTCAGGCCAGGCTGAGTGTGGGGGACAGTGAGCATGGCACCCGGGTCTCTGGGGTCTGCCAAGAGCCTGCCAGCAACCAGGCTGGGCACTATAGACGGGCTCAGGGAAAAGGCCCTGCCTCCCACGCACCTGACACAGCTCCCTCCCACACCTAACGTCTGACAAGCGCCCCAGGTCACAATGAGCGTTTTCACTGGGTCTGCAGTCGTTGAGCCGCCTTCGCGCGCTCTCTCTGATCTGAGCTGTCATCCTGAATGCCAGCATTTCCCAGCTCTTGGCAACTTCACCCCCCAGTGAATGGCTGGCAGTCCAAGGGCTGGTCTTGGAAGCTACTCCAGAGCCCAGAAGAGGACCAGCTAGGGTGTCAGGGAGCCAGAGCCCCTCTCCAGGGCCGCGGTCAGAGGCGTCCCGAGCCCCCTCGTCACCCACCTCCTGCTTCGGCCTTCACCATCCCCTTGATGTAGTTTGCCCCAAACACAGGCTGCTTGATCTCACAGTCCTTCATCAGATAGAAGGGCATCATAAAAGACTTCATGGCATCCTTCGCCTTGGACAGAAAGATGACCTGCAAGGAAAGAGGACAAGGGCCATCACCGCTCGGACCACAGCCCGCCTGGCCACCGCTTCCTGTGTGTGAGGCCTCCGCTCCCAGGGCTGGAGTGGGTGGCCACAGCCAGCACCCAGCAGCCCCACGGCACTCTCTGCAACAGCCACCCCCGGAGGGTGCCTTTTGGAGTAAAAGGCCCCACGTGCAGCCGGGCTGGGGAGGCCAGATGTGTGAATTCAGAAGAAAAACGCGTGACTCAGGCCACACGTGTGAACAGGACGGCCTGCTCTATAACTGATGGGTGGTGAGGAGGCGGCAGACGCGGAGCCTCAGTGAAGAGGCGGCGGGGCCAGGGCAGAAGGGCGGGGAAGGGCTCCTGAAGCGGGGGTCAAGCCTGCGCTCCACAGAACTGAAAGGAGGGAAAGGCGGCGGGTGGCAGACCCCAGAAGGGGCACACCAACCCGCCCGTGGACTCTGCCTGATTGGCAAGGCTCCGATCCTGCGTGTAGAGCACCTGCTGTTTTACACCCACGACTTCAATCTGTGACTGGAGATGCCAACTTGAACCCCCAGAGACAGGGTTTTGTGACCCCCTCCCCACCCCCACCCGGGTCTCCTCTAAGGCCTGTGCATCTCTCCCCCCTCCACCTGTCAACTCTCAGGTGGCCGCAGGCAGCCGTCTTCTTCCAAGAACATCTATTTGTGTTTCTCTGGAAGTCTGAGTCTGCCTGGGGAACTCTTAGGTGAGGCCCATTCTACAGGCTGGCATTTCTTGCTCTGCTGGGTTTGGCCGGGCTCTCTGCCCAGCCCAGAGACTGAGACTGTGGACCACACTTATCACTCTGGACGTGCACAAGGGCCTCAATGGGCTACTCCTACAGCACTCAAGTAACCACGGCCTCTCCCCCCAGGCCCAGGTCATTCCAGCAGCTGCACTGAACTCCGCACTACTTGAAGCAGCAGCTCGGGAATGTGCATGGACTCACTGCCCAGCCGTCAGTTTTGCTGCACGAAGATCCTGGTGGTTCCAGAACCAGGGACATGTGACAGAAACACGCTGTCGTTCATCAGGGCTCAAAGACCACTAGACTCACGAGGCTGAGGCTGCCCTAAGGCTCTCACATCAGCCTCCAGGAGCCACGAGTCTCCAAACCAGCTGTCTCACTGTACAACTTACCCGGTATGGGGTAAGGTAGACTGTGCCTTTCTTGGTCCCTTTGAAGGCCTCTGGCACATTCCTCATGTCACTGAACGTAAGCTCTACATGGTCATAGGACATCAGGATGCTGTGAGAAGAGAGGACAGGCCCTGATGAGACTGCTGGAGTCACAGTCTGTCACCCCCAAGGACTGAACCCTCCTGGGTAGCAGCTGCCAGCATGTGGTCGTTTCAACACTGCTGTGAGGAGTGTAACAACACGGCCATGGAAAAAATGAGCAAGCTAGGTTCCCCGAACCCCACCCACACAGCCCCGAAGTGACCAGTGTAGGGACTTCCCTGGCAGTCCAGTGGTTACGACTGCCCATTCTCACTGCGGAAGGCCCAGGTTCAACCTCTGGTCGGGGAACTAAAATCCCACAAGCCCCAGGGCACAGCCAGGGAAAAAAAAAGTGACCAGTGCAGTAGAAGAGCCGCAGGGCTTTGCAGGCACCATAATCCCTCCAATCAGTTTAGATCATCTGGGTTAACTCTTCTGTTTTTCTTCCAAGTCCTTACGGCAGGTGCTCTGTTTTTCTTGGTTTGCTTTTTTAAGCCTGATGCATGACATTTTAAGACATGACTCTCCACCTTACCAAAGGGCTGACTTCAGGGTTTCTCTAAACCTGGGGTGCTTAAGCTGAGTCTGCAGGGGTATCAGTCCATGAGCCCTTGAGATGATCACACACGTGCTTTTTCCTGCGACAGTCCATAGCTCTCATCACTCTCACAGGGATTCTTGATTTGAAGAGTGAGGTTCACTATTTTACACATCAAGCTTTATATGCTGAATGGAGACTTCAGTTGCTGTTTACACAACTTTTTCAGGAATGTGGCTCAAGCATTTGCTAAAAACAAGGCACACCATTATGCAGCAGCACTGAGTCCTAAACCAGGTAGGAGGCCCAGAAGGATAGATAACATTCTCTTTTTTTTTTTCTTAAAATAACATTCTTAAAAAATAAATAAATAAAAAACATTCTTGTCCCAGAAAAGCCCCACTGAGAGAGAAAGAACCGTCCCAGGAGATGGTACCAAATGGCATCAGCAGGGTTTGTCCACCCTGGGACTGGCTCACACACAGAGAGGCTACACACCCAGGGCAATGTGAGGTTTCTCTGATTACAAGACAACGCAGTCCAAGTTCACGTGGTTCTATTTGTCTTTTTTCCCCTCCCAGATATCACAACTTCCTTCACTGGGGAGGGGTAAGTGGAAGGAGGACCAGTACCAGAAAAGACAAGGAAAGCTCAGAGAAAAGAGGTCATGACCAGGAACAGGCTGGGCCTGGCAGACCCTGAGCCAGTAACGTGGAGAGTCAGTATTCTGGGCTCCCTGAGTGCTTTCCTCTGATTCAACAAGCACGCCGGGTTACAGCGTCTAGGCTCTGATCCCACCAAGTCTCTTCTGGGGACTCAGACTCCTCCTTTGCTCCTTCAAGAGGTGCTTCTGGGTCATCAGAGCTCAACCAGGGCTGGCTGGTCTGATTCTCAACGCCCAAGGAGCAAGAGGAAAGAAGCCATTCAAGGAGTGGATGGTAGGAGGAGAGACAGAATTGAGTGGGGTTGGGCAGGACAGGTGGGAGACTGCTCTGGGAAGTGACCCGAGCCGACAGGAATTCAAGGGAAAGAGGCAAAGACTGACCTTTTTAGGAAATATGTCAGGCATCTGACGATCGTTAACTATGTAATTTCACCTCTGGGCCTCAGTTTCTCACCTGGAATCTGAGCAGTTCTGGAATATACTGGAAGGCTACATACTGGTAGTTAAGGCTACTGACTTTGGAATCAAGACTCCTTTGCTGTTTACTTACAGCTCTGTGAGCTCAAGCAAGTTTCTTAACTTTCCTGTGCCTCAGTTTCCTTACATTAAAATGTGTAGAGTAATAGCATCTGCCGCACAGGATTCACATACTGAAAAAAGGCAGAACAGATGCAGCCCCCCTCCCCGACACGCAGTAAACGCCTAAATAAATGGCAATTATTTTTGTCTAAAGCTCTCCGCGTTTCCTAACGTCTCCCACTTTGGGCAAGGGGTTCGAGAACGACGCGCGCTCTCCACTTGTCTCTCAAGGCCCCCGCCCCATCCGGCCGCCCCGGCCCCATCCCACCGCTGATCCCGCAGCATCCCGGTGCGACCAAGACCCACTCAGCCGCCTGCAGCCCCGCCCCCAGCCGTTACCCTCCCCCCCCCCCATCAGTTTCCCCTCATCACGGGTTCACGCCCAGCCGCCCGCCGCCCGCCGCCCACACCCTCCACGCCCGCCCCTCCGGGCTTCTAGGGTTCTTCCGCACTGTCTTCACCTCTCGGTGTTGTTGACGATCACTCCGCCGCCCTCCGAGTGATTCTTGTTGAGCGCCATAGTCCCTCGGAAAAGGGTCCCGAGCCTGGCGACGCAGTGCGCTTGCGCCCTTCTTCGGTCCGCCCCTGGTGGCGTCGGTCGGATAAGTGCCAGCCAATCACAGCTCCCGTGCGGAGGCTGGCCCTACCGCCTGATCCCGGGCGTCACGTGCTAATAGTTTACGGCCTCGCCCCCTCCCCCTCCCCGGTTACGCCTGCGTCACAAACAAGCTCAAGACTACAACTCCCAGAAGGCAACGCTCCCTCAACCCCGACCTCTCCCTACACGCTAGCGGAAGGATTCATCCTGGAACTTGTAGTCTCCGAGACCACAGGCCCCGATTGAGTCCACGAGTTGCATAACTAATCCCCACCTCTACTCGGTCCTCCCAGGGAGCCGAAAGAACAGTTCGGTCCACCACAGAGGAATTAATCGTAAAGGCGCTGGAGGCAAAAGCTCATACCCACAGGATGGGGATTGTAACCTCCCCCAGCTGTAGGAGCGCTGATCACTAACTGGGGCGGCTTCATTCCGTCTGCAAACGTTTGGGGAGAACTTCTTATGTGACTTTGCTCCCCCCTCCCCCCACCTTGAGTAATCACTGAGCCAGACAGATGAGTGCAAGACCAGTCTCTGTTTTGGCAGAGAAGAATCAGGAGAAACTGCGATCGCTCCCATGAAATCAAACCCAGACCCTCCGAAGTGGGCAGTGGGAATCCGTGCGGGGAGGAGAACCCGAGCCCAGCGCCTGCATCTCATCGCCGCGTCCACCGCAGCTGGCCTCGCGGTGGCGCTGCTCCCTCTAAAACGTTATGGCTTTGCCGCCCGGCCCTCCCAGCATTTTCCAGGCTCGAAGATTTAAACCAGACTGGGAGTAACTGAATGCAGTTGGGCACAGTGCGAGACCGAGTGCTTAGGGCTGACTCACAGTGACCCGGCACTGTGCGGTCCCCGCTCGGCCGCTGTAGTTTTGTAAACTTCCCCCACCTCCGAGGCGAGTCTTTCCCGGAAATTGGAGTGGGAGTTGTAGCGGGACGAGGGGGGTGGTGGTGCATCATTGATTTTAAGGGATCAGAGTTTGATTTGAAACAGACTGCTAATTTCTTGACACGTGGTGGCCAACTTTGTGATCCACCTGCTTGACTTTCGTTTTGAGTGAGATTTTCTAGGCTAAGGGTCAAAAACTAGAAAATATTATGTAGCTGGTAACAGTTTTCTATAAGGTCTAGTGCAAAACCGGGTTGGACGTCGCAGGACAAGTGCGATGAAGTAGTACATCAGGGGACATGATGAAATCTGCCCTTGAAGGTGAGGTTAAATTCCATACATATGGGACTTGCCTGGGGGTCCAGTGGTTAAGACTCCGTGCTTCCACTGCAGGGGGCAAGGTTTCCATCGCTGGTCAGGGAGTTAGTGAAAGTCTCCTAGTCGCCTCTGACTCTGCAACTCCGTGGACTGTATAACCTGCCAGGCCCCTCTGTCCGTGGAATTTTCCAGGCAAGAATGCTGGGATCTTCTGGACCTAGAGATCAAACCCGGGTCCTCCTGCATTGCAGGCAGGTTCTTTACCGTTTGAGCCACCAGGTGGTAAAGGCACGGCACAGCCTATATCCCTGACACAGCCAAAAAAAAAAAAAAAAAAAAAAAAAAAAAAAAAATCCACACGTGCAATCTATGCAGTCGTTGAAAAGAATGAAGTCAAATTCTGTGTGCTGAAAGGAAAAGATTGCTAAGGTTCGTCTGAACAAATGGTATGTAAATATACTTACATTTGTCTAAAAAATGAGCTCTAGGTATTAAGTCTCTTGAAAGATCCACCAGGCATCGTTTTTGGCATTACTACTTTGAAGCTCAGTTCTGGGAATTAGGGTTGGCAGGTTACTTTTTGTGCGTTGTATGCTCTTTCATAGGACTTCCCTAGTGGTTCAGATGGTAAAGCGTCTGCCTACAGTGCAGGAGACCTGGGTTTGATCCCTGGGTTGGGAAGATCCTCTGGAGAAGGAAATGGCAACCCACTCCATTACTTTTGCCTGGAAAATCCCACGGATGGAGGAGTGTGGTGGGCTACAGTCCATGGGGTCGAAAAGAGTTGGACATGACTGAGTGACTTCGGTTTCATGCTCTTTTATACTGTTTGTTTACTGTGCACATTTTATTTATTTTTGGCTATGTGGCATGTGGGACCTCAGTTCCCCCACCAGGGATCTAACCCGTGTCCCCTGCAGCAGAAGCATGGTGTCTTAACCACTGAACCACAGGGAGGTCCCTACTGTATGCATTTTAAATGTTGATAATACGTTTCAAAAAGAGAGGAAAAAAAAGAGAAAACTCACCCAATAATGGGTGTGCAAGAACAGCTGCTGTCAGTACCATAAGAGAGAAGGTGGGACAACAGTGCACGACCCCAATGGGTGGCGGAGACAGAGGCTGGTTTTATGGAGCCTGAAGCCTTTGTTGTGTTGGAGGCCCTGTGTAAGAACTAAAACACAGGATTATAAACACATCATGCTGTGGCCACACTGAGGCCTCATGACAGGAGGGGAAATGTGATGAGGAAGTCTGAGTGGAGCGAGATAGCAGGCTTAACCCATTCTGGCTTAAGTGTCCAACTTTTGCAAGTTTCATAAAACACATGTGACCATGTGAACTCATTGTTAGGGCTGCTCCCAGGCGGTGGACAGGACAGATCCTTTCCAGGACCACACTAAGGGACTCAAGGGCAGTTCATTGTTGAACCATGTCGGGCGTGGAGGTGGAGATAAATTAGAAGTTTGGGATTAACATATACTACATATACTACTGTATGGCTTCCAACATGGCTCAGTGGTAAAGAATCCGCCTGCCAAGCAGGAGACAGAAGTTTAATCCCTGGGTCAGGAATATCCCCATGGAGTAGGAAATGGCAGCACACTCTAGTATTCTTGCCTGGAAAATCTGATGAACAGACTAGCCTCGAGGGCTACAATTCGTGGGGTTGCAAAGAGTCAGACACCACTTAGCGACTAAACAGCAAACAGCAGCAAACAGAAAGGGCCTACTGTATAGCACAGGGAACTATACTCAATATATTGTAGTAACCTGTAATGGAAAGGAATCTGAAAAAGAATACATGGGTGTGTGTGTATAACTGAATCATTTTGCTGTGCACTTGCAACTAACACATTATAAATTATACCTCAAGAATAAAGTAAATAAACTAAAAATTGCTTAAGCATTTTGTCATGAATGCTATTTTTCCCCAGAAGGAGACTGTGAAGTGTATCACCTAAAAAGGAAAAAAAAAGAGTCACAGATCAGGATTGAGACAATTTTAATGTTATATTGTGATGTCCTTTGAGGTTTTCTGTAATACATTGTTTTTTAAAATCTGCTAATCCTTGTGCCCTAAATTGATTTTGTAATCCTCACTTTGAAAACTCCGATTCCAAAAGGAAGGATGAGGGTAGTGTGGGTGGGGGACGCAGAGGAGAGGACAGGAGGAGAGTGCTGGAGTTGATGTGAGTAATACCCCACCATGTTCCCCACCCCAGCCCGCCAGAGATGGGACCTGCATCCACCCAACTCCTGGAGCGGAAACTGTCCCATATTGACGGGTCCCCAGTCAGTTTACTAAAGGGTGTGTCGGTGAGATTTAGGTCATTCTCATCCTCTTGGTAGGAGAAGAGTTTTGTTTCTCTTAGTATTTGTTTAAGTATTTATGTATGGTTGCACTGGGTCTTCATTTCTGCACTCGGGCTTTCTCTAGTTGCCGTGAGTGGGGACTACTCTGTTGTGGTGCGCAGGCTTGTGGTGGGCTTGTTTCGGAGCACGGGCTAGCTGTGGCACACGGGCCCATTAGTCGTGGCTCTCGGACTCTAGAGCGTAGACTCAGTAGCTGTGGCACACAGGCTTCAGTGTGGACTCTTCCTGGACCAGGGATCGAACCTGTGTCCCCTGCATCAGCAGGTGGATCCTTATTCCCTGTACCCCCAGGCAGTGCTGAGAGTTTGTCTTTAGATGTCACATCTTTGTTTCACTCTTCAAGGGCTAGGAGACTCAAAAGACTGAGGGGCTTTTTTCCATTTCTCAACCAAGAGGGCAGGCAAGCCTTCCTGTCCCTTGATGGTAGTTCCCAGCTCTGGCTGAACACAGAAGTTATCACACACCCTGAAGGTTCAAAGCCCCAGGCTCTTGCCTGGAGCTTACTATCTGTGACTGGGGCTGGAGGGGCTGGAGATTGGAGATGACAGAATGACTGGACCTAGAGAGGGAAGGGGTGCTTTCCAGATCCCTGAACTGGAGCAGAGTTTGGGGAATTCTCCAGTGGTACCCCTCCAACCCCCCCCCCTTATCTGTCCTGCTCCCGCATAGCAATCCCAAGAGGTGGGTTGTGGTCAATGGGGGTCCTGAAGTGTGCTTTGGGGGGGTTGTGTGAAAGGGTCCAGCTATCTGAACAGAGAATTCAGTATAAAGAATTAACATAGGTATAAAGTAGCCGTGTTGCTTTAAAGGTAGGTCGCTATGTAACAGAAAAGGTGAAAAAAAATAATTCTAAGGTGTCCCAGAGGTACCTGAACCTAGGACTGGAGGAACCAAAGGGCAAGTCGGAATAATTATAATAAAACATAGGAGCTTGAAGGAAACGCCGCTGGGGACTAAAACCTAATGCTCTGAGTCGGGCACACACTTGCTGCTGGCAGTGTCTCTAAGTGGGGCTCCGGGTAGCTAGTTCTGCAAGGGGTGGAAAAATGGCAAACTGCATTTAGCTGCTGATAAGGAACTGCAGCTGGCCTTCCCTGGTGGCTCAGTGGTAAAAATCTGCCTGCCAATACAGGAGACACAGGTTCCATCCCTGGGTCGGGAAGATCCCCTGGAGAAGGGAAGGGCAACCTACTCCAGTATTCTTGCCTAGGAAATACCATGGACAGAGGAGCCTGGTGGGCTGCAATCCATGGGGTGGCAAAAGAGTCTGACACGACTAAACGACCAAACAGAAACAAAGGAACTGCCCCTTCCGGGGTGAGGAAGCCTTCCAGTGATGA